GTTAGATTCAGCATATTAAAGAACCCCATGAAATCAAGAATAAAACCCCATTGAAATTGGTCAAGAAATAAGCAATTTATAGGAAGTATCTTCTTTTGCACAATCCTGTGCTATTAAATATTTCTTGCTATTCTTAATGTAGACCAATTTGAAAACGGAACCAAAAATTAAGAATCTAAATACACGGTTAGATTCGGCATATCAAAGAACCCCAATAATTCAATTTTTAATGAAATCAAACAAAGTTTAATTTTGGACCCTTTTGACCTCAATGTGGACAAAGTTGATAACGGGGCCCAAAAATCAAAAATCTAAATACATGGTTAGATTCAGCATATCAAAGAACCCCATATATTCAATTTTTGTTGAAATCAAACAAAGTTAAATTTTGGACCCCGATTTGGACCAACTTGAAAACTGGGCCCATAATCAAAAATCTAAATACATGTTTAGATTCAGCATATCAAAGAACCCTAAGAATTCAATTTTTGTTAAAATCAAACTAAGTTTAATTTTGGACCCTTTGGACCTTAATGTAGACCAATTTGAAAACGGAACCAAAATTTAAGAATCTAAATACACAGTTAGATTCGGCATATCAAAGAACCCCAATAATTCAATTTTTGATGAAATCAAACAAAGTTTAATTTTGGACCCTTTGGACCTCAATGTGGACCAATTTAAAAACGGGGCCCAAAATCCAAAAACTAAATACACGGTTAGATTCAGCATATTAAAGAACCCCATGAAATCAAGAATAAAACCCCATTGAAATTGGTCAAGAAATAAGCAATTTATAGGAAGTATCTTCTTTTGCACAATCCTGTGCTATTAAATATTTCTTGCTATTCTTAATGTAGACCAATTTGAAAACGGAACCAAAATTTAAGAATCTAAATACACAGTTAGATTCGGCATATCAAAGAACCCCAATAATTCAATTTTTGATGAAATCAAACAAAGTTTAATTTTGGACCCTTTGGACCTCAATGTGGACCAATTTAAAAACGGGGCCCAAAATCCAAAAACTAAATACACGGTTAGATTCAGCATATTAAAGAACCCCATGAAATCAAGAATAAAACCCCCATTGAAATTGGTCAAGAAATAAGTAATTTATAGGAAGTATCTTCTTTTGCACAATCCTGTGCTATTAAATGTTTCTTGCTATTGCGCAATACTGTACAATTGACAATTTCTTGCTATTGCGCAATATTGTGCTATTGGATATTTCTTGCTATTGCGCAATACTGTGCAACTGAAGATTTCTTGCTATTGCGCAATACTGTGCAATTGAAGATTTCTTGCTATTGTGCAATACTGTGCAATTGAAAATTTCTTGCTATTGCACAATACTTATTATATAATAATCTACACATCCTGTTTGGTGTGTATCTCCTACCATATCATTATTATTTGATTTTAAATATAAATCAGAAATAACCAACTTAAAATGGAAAATTTTAAAAGAAACAAAAAAGGAAAAAAAGAAAAAAAAGGAAAAAAAAATAAATCCCCCCCCAAAATTTTTTGAACCCCCATTATGATTCATCACCCCCAAACTCAATCCCAGCCTTCCCTTTGTGGTATGGTACCTTGCAGTACAATTTCAGAGAGATCCATACACTTGAACACAAGTTATTGTCTGGAAACTAGAAAAAAATGTGTTTTTTGGCCCCTTTTTGGCCCCAAATTCCTAAACGTTTAGGGCAATTACCCCCAAACTCAAACCCAGCTTTCCCTTTGTGATATGGAACCTTGTAGTACAATTTCAGAAAGATCCATACACTTACACACAAGTTATTGTCATGAAACTAGAAAAATGCTTGTTTTTTGTCCCTTTTTTGGCCCCTAATTCCTAAAATTTGGAGGCAATTACCCCCAAAATCAATCCCAGCATTCCTTTAGTGATATGGAACCTTGTGGTACAATGTCAGAGAGATCCATACACTAACACACAAGTTATGTCTGGAAGTTACAAAAATGCTTATTTTTGGCCCCTTTTTGGCCCCTAATTCCTTTACTGTTATTACCATAACCCCCAAAATCAATCCCAACCTTCCTTTTGTGGTATTGAACCTTGTGGTAAAATTTCATAAAGATCCATTCACTTAAACTAAAGTTAGAGTGCGAAAACCAATGTGTCTTCGGACGACGCCGGACGACGCCAGACGACGACGACGACGACGACGCCGGACGACGACGACGCCAACGTCATACCAATCTACGACCACAAAAATTTGTTTGCGGTCGCATAAAAATCAATGTAATGCCTCCATTACTGTACATTACTTTTCATTACAAATTGGTAAAATACATAAAATTGAAGAATATAGTAAAATAAAAATAAAATATTAACAAAAACAAAAGAAAGTATTGAATAAAATTATTGTCACATTTAATTACTGTATTAAATCATTATAGATAGTTTGCCCTTAAAAAATCTTCTAAAAATAATTATGAAACAAAACTATATAGATGAATGGAAATAATATAAAGATGAAATTTTCATAATTCTATACACACCTTACATGTATTTCAATGAAAGAATGAATATGTCAATCAACATTTTTTACACCAAACTGTGGTTGTTATTTCACCTAATTAATATCCAAATGTTTTTATTGCAATCAAATCTTCTCAACTTATGTTTGTCCTCACAGAGCCCTTAGGCATTTAACAAGATAATCCTTCAATGACACATTTATTATATCCCTTTGAAATCCCTTTATGATGTCTTAATGATTAAGTGATCAATGTTAGAAACAAAATTATATGATAATTTATTTATTTTTCAAGTATTTGAAGTCTATGTCCCTAACACTGTATATATATGTACATATACCCCGATAATATTTATCAATTTCTTATAAAAATCTGTTTTTTAAATGTTTTTAGTTTTTATATTGAAAAAGTAATGTGTAATGTAATGCATTACACAGGCAAAGTAATTGTAATGTAATGCATTACATGTGAGAAAAAATGTAATTGTAATTGTAATGGAAGAATCATAAAGTAATTGTAATGTAATGCATTACATTGCAATGTAATGGCCCCAGGCCTGGTAGTTTCAGATATAACATATTTTTTTCTGAATCAAATACCTTTGACAACTATGTTTTTGTATCCAATCAGAATCAAAAGAAGATTATTTGTAGATAACAACCTGTACTGTAGTCTTTAATATTATGTTGGCTGTGCAGTTCCAGATCTACAGAAGACGAGAATATGATTTCCCACAAAATTTCAATGTGAACTATGTGCCATCATTGTCGCCATGTTTGTCACCTGATCAAAATCGGACGAGCATTGTTTGTAGAGAGCATTTCAAAGCTACAGAAGAAAGAATCATTTGAAGTGTGAACATACCTTAAATCCATCATAAGGAGGGGTCTAATTTGATTAAATTGGTCAAGTAGTTTGAGAGAAGATGAAAATATCATTTTCCATGCGGTTTCAATTGGAATTTTGTGCTACCAATGCTGCAATTTCGTCTTAAAAGTTTCGTAGTGTTTTTGAACATTGGCCAATCAGAAAATACATAATTTCTGCAAACGTCTGATTTAAAATCAGAGAATACGAAAATGTGATTTTTCAAAGGGGGTTCTATGGGTATGTGCCATCATATTTTCCTTCTGAACAATATTAAATGAGAAAGTTTTGTCAGACATATATGTCTCTGGTTTTGACGGGGGTCTTGAACTCCCCCAATTATCAATTCCACATATGCATAAAATTTTCCAAAATGATTCATATGAATACTTTATTCTCATAAAACAAGTGTTACAGAGAACATATGAATTAAAGATTGCCTCTGGTGGCAATGTTTTTCAAACTATTGGAACTAAATGAGAAACGTTAGTAGAAAACCTTCCACACATCGTTTCTGCAAAGTTTGGTTAAAATTGGCAAACGTTGTTTTAAAAGCAGATGAAAATGAAAAAGTTTACGGTCATCAGATAACAAGTGATTGCAAGAGCTCATTTAGCCCAAAGTATGAAGTAAGCTCAAAACTGAAAATCCTATATATTAGCAATAAAAAACCCTTAAATCGTGTCACATTTTTCTACTAGGCAAACAATTTTTGACCAACACCAATTTTTTTCTCCTCAATGGTAAGTAATGTGGACAACAGCTTTGGAAACTGGTTAACAAAATAGAGTATGATTGTACATAAATAATTACCCTTTCCAAAAGGAGGTGGAATGACAAAAGTTGTTTGCTATCTGTCAAAAATAGTAAAATTCAATCCTTGCAAAATCATGAAACTTACTAGCAAATTTCCTTCAAACTGGTTGAACAGTTCTTTTTCCAAAACATTATAATGTGAAGTTTACAGACAAGAGGATGATAGACACCAAGTAATGACAATGGATCACATTTACCTTTGATCAAGTATCTTGTAAAATTCCATCTGATATTAACTGATAACAATTTTCAAAACTGTAAAAACCCATCAAAGATACCAGATAATAATTGTGTACACCAGACACGCATTTTGACTACAGAAGACTCATCAGTGAAACTTGAATCAAAACACTTGGAAGGCTAAACCAAATACGAAATTGTAGAGCTTTAAAATACCGAAAATTAAAAAAGTTGTAAATTTCTGAATTAAGACAACAGTTTGTGCTATCCAGTATGAAAAATATGACAAGTTGGGTTAATATGTCAAATGATACAATTACCATGATGGAAATGTCTAAAGGTCAACATTGCAATCTTCAACAATTGACAGATGTCTTTACAATATGTCAAGCTCTAAATCGTCTGGGTAAAAAAAAAGTAAAAACCTATTTCTCCAAATGACAAAAAACATTAAGATATGACAAAATAAACATCTGACTAGTTTCCCTACTTGAAAAGGTGATGGGGCCAAACAAGTCAAGTATTAGCAGCCAACAAGTAATTCAAATGCCTACAAGATTTCTGCCAATATAATTGCAATTCCAATCTGTATAAGTATTTAAAACTATCAGATTACTGGTAATAACAAGAACTCTTTGGTCTTCCTTTTATTCAAGGTTTCCCACTTGGAAAATGAGTTACAAAATTTTCAACACTCATGCACAACTTTCAAATTACTGATTATGATATAATGTTATTTACAACCATACCATTTAATTTGAAATTAATGCCAAGTCAATAATAAAAAAAATAACAAACAGGAATTAAAAGTGCTTTCTTATGTTGATACTTAAATTAATATAATTTAAAGAGCCAATTTAATAACAGAAAATTAAGCAGCAATTAGACATTTAAACACCAAATAATCATTAAATACATGGTTATCATACAGGAAATACACCAAAATTCATCAGTGAAGTTATACACAATACAAATATGCCAACATTAACAATAAAAAGCAGTAAGCTTGTGTTTAATGTACTAATTACTTTAGATAAACTCATCATAGATACCAGGATATGCACCTGTTTGCCTACATGAATTGCAATATAGATATTACCATTTACAAGTATATTAGTTAGATCATTATTCCTTGCTATATTCATATATTTTTTTATATTTATAATAGAACTATCTTCCTTTTTCATATTTAGGATTTATGAGATTAATGAGTTCTGAACGTTGCTAAACTACTTTTGTCACTTATTAATGGGGAAATAAAGAGTACCTTTTCGGGTTTTTTGACATAACACCTGTATTTAAAAATATCTGTTTTTACTAATAAAATATTTTACTGTTAAAAAAATTAGTTTTCGCATTGAAAATCTTGAACTTAGTCGCATGAATACAATTAATACATATTAAGTTGAAAAAGTAATTTTCAGATCACAAATCTTTTAGCCAAATGAGAAATTCCTTCTACATTAAAACTACAGACTGCTCTGCAGACTTAACTTATTGTATAACAACTCAAAATTAATGATACAAACACAACACTACCAGATGGTAAATCAGAAATTGAGAGGAGACAATCCATTGGAATGGTCTCTTGTTATAACAGTGAACTTGAGCTAATGATATTATTGCCTTACAAAAAATCCATTCTAAAATACACATACACATGTGTCAGCATGAAACCCACAAGCTCTGTTTAAGCCTTTTTTTTAAATCAATATGGAAGCAATTAGCTGATTAAAATAACAAAAGGATAATTTATGTATAAATAAAGTTGTCTAAGATAGAAATAAGCCTTATATAACAAATAAATATAATTAAATATGTACAATTCCAATTCTATGTACATGTACTATGACAAACAAGTTTTAAGGTGGGATAGTTATTCATCTAGCAATGAAACAATCTTTTGCATAGCATACTTATTGAAGCCAAAATTAAAATCAAGTTTGTCTGGTAAAGCCTGGTTATCTACATTGTAAGATATCTAGTGTACAGCTATATTGTTAATTTATGTTGTTACTAAAGTTATGTCTGTGTTCTTTAAATAAATATTCTACAATTTTATAAGTACTTCAAAATTGATACACAAAACAACTAAGATTTGAAGTATGTTGACCTTTCATTTCATCTGAATAGATATCAGGAATCATTAATAATCTGTAATGGATTCTAAATTTACATGCTGAAAACCACTAATGTATTTCCACATATTGTTTAATAAATGAAACACTTGTTAATTGGATGTTCACACCATATTTGTGATCCCAATGTAAAAGAAATCTGGTATCATTCTTGAACAAGAGGCGAAAGATAACACAGTGACAAAGGGAAAAGAGTCAATATATGCAGTTCCATAACAGAAAATATTTCATACTTTTAATTTGAAAATTGTTGTGCCCCTGATCTTGTAGACCATACAGGCTAAATCAGTTAAGTGATCTTTATAGAGATTCTGTTTTTTTTTTTTGCTTACAAAGTTAAAAATTATTATAATTTTTGTTTTTATAATTGCAGAATCCATCAATGAGTGACTGATTCCTTAGGATTGTGTATGGGAACCCAATAAAGCCTTGCTTCAGGTAAACAACCACACAACAAAGCAGGAGATCCAACAACACAATCATCTTCATCAATTAATGTCAGGCTGTTTCCTACAGACATTCTTACAGAATTACCATTAAAAAAAACTTTGAGAAAATGAGTACATGAACATTTTTAACTTTTTAAATTTGGTGTTGATCTTTCATGTGGTCAACAATCCTGCACTTCCTAGCACTGCAATATGCATTCATGCAATAATGACACAAAATAAACTCCAGAAATTATGACATGACTAATTTAACATGGAACTGAATTATTTTGCAAGAACAGTTTTTCTTAATATTCAGCAGATACAATCTTTTACATGGCACTAATATCAAAATCTCAAAATGCAAAAATATTTGTACTGTTTGATTAAATTGTTAAAAGAATTAAAACTTTATTCAAAATTACATCTCAAATTAAAAATATTATTGTCACATTCCTTTTTGCTAAATGGCAATTGTTGTGAGAAAAGATTGGGAGTTCTACTACATTTTATATATAAATATTGTAGAGTTTGCTGCACTGAGGTGAGATTAAATAGGAAAATTAATTGAAAGAGATAATTTGTTGAGATTTTCAAACCCATATACATCAAAGACAACACATTTTGTTTTAAAATACATAAATAGGAATGATTATGGAATAGCCAATTCAATTTAAAAAGAACTATAAAACTTCCATGGAAAATCTTTCCCAAAGAAAACAAAAACCCTGTAACCTTAAACAAATAAAATCCATCAGGAATGACATCATCAGTTTTCAGTATCTTTCTTACTGAAAACAAATAGGTGATATAAAAGGACTTTGGTGTTATCAATCAGAATAAACTGTTTTCCTGGAATAAAATAAACAATGCCATCTGGTTAAGGAAAATAATATAAATGTGCCAAAATTACTGTAGCATTAAACAATAGAATTAAAACAAATATTGCACTAGAAGCATAAATTAGTTTTATTACAATTTTCAACCTGTAGATCCATACCTTTGAAATGCACAATGAAACAATCTTAAAATCTTTGATCATTCGTTCATTACATATATAAAGCATTTACACATACACATTAAAATATACATATATCTATAAAACATTTATGGAATGTTTGGTTTTTTACACACTTACATTTTTTTTTTTATAAATGTTAACATTTTTTTCTATGTTTTTGCTAACCAATTAAAAGAAATGCTTTTTTAAAAGCTGATATTGTTTATTTATTTGTTAGCCTGTTAATCAAAAATAATGTCACAGGTTTATTAAGAATTGACTGAATTCACTAAAGACTTAATGCTGAAAAAAAAATCTACTCTGACTTTCCCTACAACAACTTTTAACAATGAATTTCAAAATTTGGTGTTGCCTTTTTCCAAAATAGAGATTAAACACTCTTTAATCTTGTAAATTCAGTGGCTGAGTGTTTTTCCAATGCTAAAGATTTTTTTGAATATATTTGATGAAAATAACCAGAATGTGAAAACAATGGATGGAACCTGATAAAAATACTTCTGGTTGTTATGTTAGTTGATGCTAATATTTTTACTGCCAATCACCCATTTGTTCATTTTGTTTTGTCTGAACAAGTGAGAAAATGTGTAATTTTAGAAGCCTTTAAGGAGACAAATTAATTTAAGCACTAGCTGCTTGCTTCTGAATCCTAATTGTCACTGTGTAAATTAATAGTGTATAAGATGTAATTTATAGTGTATAAGATGTAATTTATAGTGTATAAAATGTATTGTTTACATTTCATAATAAATATTGTTTACACTAAGCCTTTGACTATAAAATGCATTTCATTGGTTCAAAGTTTACAACAGAGTTATACAACATTAGTACAATCACACTCACAAACAAGACACTTGTATACAACTCTCTATCAATTTTTAATTACTAAATGTTGACGTAAACGAATGAAGTGATCACATTGAAAGAAATATACATATATCCTCTAAGAGATAAATATCACATGATTTTAATATCACAACAGGTTGATAAAATTTATTTTTACTAGCTGGAGATGATACTGAAGGTTGGTCCATAGCGTAAAAAGAATTTCTTCAGTGTTGTTTTCATCTCTAATTTAAAGTCAAACATAAGTGTTTCACACATAAATGGAAAGTATGCTGAACCATGGATTCGAAACTGAAAACAAAATTACACAAATAATCAATACATCAAACTTTTCACTGAAATGCATAATAAAGGCATTACATATAATTTGTCTTTAAATAATCATAACAGGGGCAACTGGCATTGCTTTCTGAATCGTTTTCCATTAAAGTTGAAATTTGCCAGGTAATTTATTCTCATTGGTGGACAGTAGAATTGAACATAACTTAAAGACACATTGTCTCGTTGTTTTTTTTGTAATTTTGGGAATTCCCTGTTGATGTTTATTCAAACACACTATTTTCAAACTTTGGCCATTTAGAGCTAGACATATTGTATATACACATGTCTATTGTTGAAGAACATATGTTGACCTCTATTTGTGTTGGTTTTTTTTGGTTGCTGTTTCATTTAGACATCTACATGAAGTATGTCTACTGAACTATTTGTTTCACACCACATTTGTCACACCGTATAATTGCTGGTTTTATGTATACCTGATGTTAACCTAAATACAATAAAAAAATAATGATTTTTCTCAATACATAAATTAAGTGACAATGGAAGTTTACTCTAAAATTTAAAAACTAAGAGATGAAGGGAAAAATCTCTGAAATACATACCCTATCATCAGTCATCTTTAAAAGACGGTTGAGTAATAACAACAATAAACTATTCCAGGCATCTCTGTGACTGTCTGACTCTAATGACAGGAAATATTCTAAAGATTCTTTACATACACTACAAATAAATCAATTAGAAAATTCAATCACTTGAGAGCTTATTATGTTATGTAATGTTTAAACACATTTCACATCTGATAAAATTTTTTTTTTTACTTGAGTGTTAAACCTGTTATTGCAATTAAGTCTCAAACACTTCCTATATTCAGTTAGGTGAAAATTATTAGAATTAGAAGTTCTGTTTATTTCTCTACTACTGACTTTCATTCAAAGTAAATTGTTTAGATTGTAGTCTAACTAGTATTTAAAAATGTTTTCAGTCCTTGGACTTTCTCAGTTGCAACTTTCTCCTGTTTCTTCAAGTACTTTTCATAAAGGAGGAATTAACAATGATGTCTATAATATCACTTCACAGATATGTAATATCTTATTACAAGGCTTTACAATAAATATATGATATGAAATATGGTATTGAACAATTAACAATATATGCAACTTACCTTATAATTTTATTTTCTATCTGGTTCCATTCTCCTCTCCTTGAATCATCATTGTACATTCTAAATAATATTCTGAACACACAGGCTAAACTTTGTGTTTCTTGCTTCAATAAATTTGGTTTTGCTTTACCTCGGAAACCTAAAAACAACAAAAGTAAATGTCATTTTCTCAGGATACATTGTTTACATAATAACTTTTATTTCCAATATCTTTAAATAATCTGCTCACAAGAATAAATTTATATCTTGAACTGAGACTCAAAGTAAATCTTGCTTTGTTGACTGGAATTACTAATCTAGTAAGAAAAACTTGCTCTATTTTCATAAATCATTAAAAAATACTTTCTTAAGCGAAAAACTATAGTAACATTTGATTTCCATCAAGGTTTGATATACATAGCAATAAAATTGTGCTGAAATTTTGACTTTTAATTCAGAATTGTAGAGCAGGAATGCCTAATTTCATGTTAAAAGTATAAAAAAAGTGGTATAACAAATTATCAAATCAAAATAGGAAGATAATGAAATTGACAAAAATATATTTGTACTTTGTTTAGTTTTTATGACAATTTACATAACCAAATTTGGTTTACGAAATAACAAACAACTGCAAAACAGATATTGATGGGAGCCATCACAGAGGGCACATCTTGAGAAACAAGTAATTAGTGATTCAAATTTTAATTAAATAAGAGTTATCTGATTTAAACGTAGCTTATACCCTTGGCAGAAATTGTCTGATACGTAACAGATGTACACATGAATGGACAGACATGCCGATTACTATATGCTACCTCTGATTTAGATTAATCAGTGGGGCCCTAATTAAATACTTCAAATGATCTTACCAGCCTTCCATAGAACATTTCTTTGTTCATGATTAGAATTAAAGTCTTTAGCAAACTTGTGTGATTCGAGTAAACAGTCTGCCAACATGAGTAACTGTTGACTACTGAGAAACTGATACATCCCTTGGTCTTCCTGCTGGCTGGTATCCATCTCATATGGTGCGTCTAAACTATGCTACAATATTACAATCTATGTTAGAGTATCATGGTCTTACCAAATGTACTTCTCAAATCATAAAACAATCTTAGCATCATATATAATGATAGATCGATATGAAGATATTTATTAAAGTGAAGATAAACAATAAAACAAGAGTGCACACGCTGAAATGTCTCGCCTGCTTTACTGACCATTGATTTTATGTTGAAAGTCTTAAAGATAAAGGTTAAACTAAAAGCATCACAGAAACTCAGGTCAGATAAATGCAGACATATACACCTTACAATTTTTTTAAACACAAAATATAGTTGACCTATTGCTTATTATATGGTCCAAGGACACAGTTATCGTCCTTTGGTTTTCGTTGTCTACAAATATAGTCCCTAGTGTGAACAGTGTATAACTTGCATTTTTTTTTGATACACTTTCCCAATTTATTTCTTGATATTTTATGCATGAAATATTAAGTAAGGGGATGAAATTACATGTTAAAAAAATTTGGGTGCTGAATCTTTATGTTAAGTAGTGATTTGGTCCAGTTAAAAAAGGTCAAAAATTAGAATGTCTGAAGCTGTCAAACTGAATTTTAGCCCCCCTTAACACAGAACTGTCAATATTTTGAGTTAGAGCTGGTAGAAGTTTCTATAATTTTGATATTATTTGTATCAATAGTAGTACACTACACTGTAAAAATCTTTTTGAGATAGAGCAGGTGCGATTTTTTTAATTTGAATTTATTGTCTAAAAGAAATGCACTACGAAATAACTGTGTTCTCGGGCCTAAGAGATGAATTCCGTAAATGTAGATTCTGTACTTTGGCAACTTTCCTGAATGGTTTGCTGGTTTCAATTTGTCAAACTCAATAAAAGTAAAGGATTTACATCTTTGTTTGACAGAAATTCTGTTAAAATGTCCCATTTTGGCATTATACGGCTAAAATAAGCATTTTAAAGCAGTTTCCATTTTATGCCGAAGAGCCATGGTGACTTTCTATCTGACAGCTTTTTATGTTCCTGATATTTGTGTTTCTATGCTTAAATCAAATTTAATTAACCATTTGTGAACTCGGAATCTAGAGAAAAGTAGATTATCACAGAAGAAATGTGCAGAATATTTGTATTTATGTCCCTGGTTAAACGGCCTGTTTGATGTATGTGAAATGTGAAGAGCTTTGTACATAAAATCTGTAGTCCATCACAAATATTTCACTAAATCTGTAAAAAAAGCACTTTACAATGATCAGTTAACCCTATTCATTTCATATGCTGCCATAATTTTCTTCTTTAGGATAGTAAGTGGTTCAAATATATGCCAAATGAGACTAAAACTACATGCAAGTTTTCCATTGAAAAGTGAAAAACTGGTCATCAGACCATACTGTCTGCCAAAAAAATTTAAATTCAAGAGTCCTTTTGCAATTAGACTTCTTGTATCATGACATCTTAGCATAGAAATGAGCAAAAAGTAACAAATTTCAATTTCTTATAGCCTCTGTGTGCATTTTTATATGTAAATATGGGCTACGGCCTAAATCGACTCTAAATAATTCTCAGTCTTACATGGCCTTAGACCATTTTATACTCATGTGGTATGCTTTTTGTAACTTTTCTTTACATTTAAAGTACATTTAATATATATGGAAGAATAATGTATGGTTAAAAAACTTCAAAAACTTCAAATTGGTTGAAAAAAATGCATGTTTATGTAAGGCTTCCCTTAATTCGAAAATCTCTATTTTCAGGCACAGGCTCATATAAATTTGACTTTTGAATAACTGTAATAAATCTGATAAATCAAATGAGTGTTCCGTTGCTTTTAATACTTATTATATTAAATTCAAGAGTATTTAAAAAGCAAATTTTTGCAGTATTTAAATTTTTTAGGCAAAAATCTTGACAGTTGAAAATATTTGATTTAAACGTCAAAAATAAACATCCAAATTTCAATATTAAAATGGCCCTAGTTTCTATAATATATATCCTATGGCCATGAAACTTGGCCAACTATCTTATAATTGCCTAAGCTTAGGTCATGCAAAGTTTTATTAAAATTGGACAAGTTTTTCTATCCTATTAGGTCCAAGGACACAGTTATCGTCCTTTGGTTTTCGTTGTCTACAAATATAGTCCCTAGTGTGAACAGTGTATAACTTGCATTTTTTTTTGATACACTTTCCCAATTTATTTCTTGATATTTTATGCATGAAATATTAAGTAAGGGGATGAAATTACATGTTAAAAAAATTTGGGTGCTGAATCTTTATGTTAAGTAGTGATTTGGTCCAGTTAAAAAAGGTCAAAAATTAGAATGTCTGAAGCTGTCAAACTGAATTTTAGCCCCCCTTAACACAGAACTGTCAATATTTTGAGTTAGAGCTGGTAGAAGTTTCTATAATTTTGATATTATTTGTATCAATAGTAGTACACTACACTGTAAAAATCTTTTTGAGATAGAGCAGGTGCGATTTTTTTAATTTGAATTTATTGTCTAAAAGAAATGCACTACGAAATAACTGTGTTCTCGGGCCAGAAAAACAGACCAAAACAAAAAAAAACTTAACATTGACAAATGAACCATAAAAATGAGGTCAAGGTCAGATGATATCTGCCAAACAGACATATACACCTTACAATCATTCCATACACTAAATATAGCTGACCTATTGCTTATAGTACTTGAAAAACAGACCAAAACACAAAAACTTAACATTGAGCAATGAACAAGAAAATGAGGTCAAGGTCAGATGATACCTGCCAGACAGTTATGTTGACCTTACAATCATTCCATGAACCAAAGATAGTTGACCTATTGCTTATGAAAAACAGACCAAAACACAAAAACTTAACATTGACCAATGAACCACGAAAATGAGGTCAAGGTCAGATGATACCTGCCAGACTGACATGTACCCATTACAGTCATTCCATACACCACATATAGTTGACCTACTGCTTATAGTATTTGAGAAACGAAACTAATCAAGTAACTTTAACCTTGATCACTGATCCATAAAATGAGGTCGAAGTCATGTGAACCCTATATGACGAACATGAAAACATTGCAAGGAATCCATATACCAAATATGGTTATCCTATTACTCATAATAAGTGAGAAATTCACATGACAAAAAATCTCAAATTTTTCTTCAAGCATTTGCTGAACCATGAAAATGAGGTCAAGATATTGGACACATGACAGACGGAAACTTCATGATATAAAGTATCTGCATACAAGATATGAAGCATCCAGGTCTTCTACCTTCTGAAATATTAAGCTTTATACAAATAGTTTACAACGCCGCCGCCGCCAGATAGTAATACCTATGTCTCGCATACTGCAACTTTCGTTGCAGGCATTACAAATATGAAAACAATTTTAATGTTTATATGTTCAATTTTTGATTGTGAGAAAATATACCAACTTTAACATTTCAATGAATGCATGTATGTAGAAGAACAAATATTTTTTTTTTCATCCAATATGAAACAATCCATCTCATATTTATATGTAATAGTATACCTGTGCAGCAGCTAAATATTCAGCATCCTCCTTCTTACTGGTTGTTGGGAAGAAAACAATATCATCTATGGTCTGTATCAGTTCTAATTGTACAACACATTTAATTAACAATCCTTGGAATAACTTCTGATCTGGAGAAACTTCTACAAAATATGAAACAAAAAGTATGCAGACAAAAAATAAACTGTTGACACAGAGACATGTCTCCCCTGTATTTTTTATTATAGTAAAATACAAAAGTTGAAATTAAAATATCAGCACTTTCTCATGTAAATTATGTGAAATATTCAAAGTCAATGAAGTATGATCAAGATACAGGGCCAAATAATCCCAATGGAAATAAGATATGCAAAGGCTAATACAAGTGCATACCAAATATATTCAACTTATCATAAGGTGTTTCTCTTAAACAGACCTAATCACAAATTTTAACATGTAAACTGCAAAAGTTTCTCCGTCAATAAACCATGATTGAGGGGACAGAGCCAAATTATCTCCATGGGAATGAGATGTGTTAATTCTAATACAACTGCATACCAAATATCATTGACTTATCAGAAGTGGTTCTCCTTAAACTGACCCAATCACAAACTTTAAAAATTGTTGATGCTGCTGCTGTCTGCTCGCTTTTGACTCCGTGAGGGCAAGACAAAAAGGGTCATAAATCCTGGAATCTGGTTACATCAAAAAGATACCTGAACCAAGCAATTGACCAAAAATGAAATGTACCTATGAAGAAAAATATATTTCTGATACACAACTAATAATTTTGTTGAAAGAATATTTTGCTCACTTGAACTTGGGATTTAATGGTATCTGAATTTCAGATACACAACTACTAATATTGTGGACAGAGATTATACACACTTGACCTTGAAATTGTATGGTCCCAGGCTTTCCGATACTCTACAATATATAAAGTGGACAAAGTATTATACTCACTTGACCTTAGGATTTCCCTTGATTTCTGATACACTTCTATATATAGATAAAGTGGACATAGTATTATACCCACTTGACCTTGGGATTTCCCTGGATTTTTGATACACTACTAAAATTAAAGAAGACAAAGTATCATACTCACTTGACCTTGGTATTTTATGCTCCCTGGATTCCTGAGATACAGTACTATATACACTATGGTTACTGTCAGCCCTTTTTAAGGATCTGTTATCATGGGTATGGTCTGGTGACAATGAGTCCTAGATTAGTAAACATAACAATTTCAGCTAACAAAAACTACTTTTATTAACAATATTCTTTCATAATTTTAGCCTTTTTCTTTTGAGTATAATTTTGAACAGCAAAAAAAAAAATAAGTTGTTGTCTTTTCACATTTTTTTCTTTAAATAAAGTTCCTGTAAAGATAAGCTACCATAATGTATGATCACCAGTTTCAATTCTACAGCCCTTTGATACCTCAATGTTCTTTTATTTGTAACTTCAAATAACAATCAATATGTCCAACTAGGATTACATATTGAAAACTTACATTTAATTCTTCCATAGATTCCATCTTATTGAATGGATGATTATCAGGAGAGTTATCATGTTCTGGACACCATGCTAACAAACTGAAATAAATCAGAGTAAATGTAATCACAACTACTAGCTTAAGTCTGCAAAATATGACCATGATGACAAAGTTACTGCCTTATAAAACTATAGCATGATCCAAATTACCTGTTACCTTTAAGTATCAGGTTTTCAAACTGCTTTAATTATATATTGTATCATAACTTAGTTTTTAAGTATATACATTTTTCTGTGGTTGTCTTTTGACTTAACTTGATGTGTTTTGTTAATTTGAGATTTGTTAATGGAAAATGTTTGATTGTTTCTGTTTAGCTCATTCACAATGATTTATAGCTTGACATACTGTATAGACAACTGTCTATTGTTGATGACTGTATGTTGCCCTCTAGAGTATGACATACTGTATAGACAACTGTCTATTGTTGATGACTGTATGTTGCCCTCTAGAGTATGACAAACTGTATAGACAACTGTCTATTGTTGATGACTGTATGTTGCCCTCTAGAGTATGACATACTGTATAGATAACTGTCTATTGTTGATGACTGTATGTTGCCCTCTAGAGTATGACATACTGTATAGACAACTGTCTATTGTTGATGACTGTATGTTGCCCTCTAGAGTATGGCAAACTGTATAGACAACTGTCTATTGTTGATGACTGTATAGATAACTGTCTATTGTTGATGACTGTATGTTGCCCTCTAGAGTATGACATACTGTATAGATAACTGTCTATTGTTGATGACTGTATGTTGCCCTCTAGAGTATGACATACAGTATAGACAACTGTCTATTGTTGATGACTGTATGTTGCCCTCTAGAGTATGACATACTGTATAGACACCTGTCTATTGTTGATGACTGAATGTTGCCCTCTAGAGTATGACATACTGTATAGACACCTGTCTATTGTTGATGACTGTATGTTGCCCTCTAGAGTATGACGTACTGTATAGACAACTGTCTATTGTTGATGACTGTATGTTGCCCTCTAGAGTATGACGTACTGTATAGACAACTGTCTATTGTTGATGACTGTATGTTGCCCTCTAGAGTATGACGTACTGTATAGACAACTGTCTATTGTTGATGACTGTATGTTGCCCTCTAGAGTATGACAAACTGTATAGATAACTGTCTATTGTTGATGACTGTATGTTGCCCTTTAGAGTATGACATACTGTATAGACAACTGTCTATTGTTGATGACTGTATGTTGCCCTTTAGAGTATGACATACTGTATAGACAACTGTCTATTGTTGATGACTGTATGTTGCCCTTTAGAGTATGACATACTGTATAGACAACTGTCTATTGTTGATGACTGTATGTTGCCCTCTAGAGTATGACATACTGTATAGACAACTGTCTATTGTTGATGACTGTATGTTGCCCTTTAGAGTATGACATACAGTATAGACAACTGTCTATTGTTGATGACTGTATGTTGCCCTCTAGAGTATGACATACCGTATAGACACCTGTCTATTGTTGATGACTGTATGTTGCCCTCTAGAGTATGACATACTGTATAGACACCTGTCTATTGTTGATGACTGTATGTTGACCTCTAGAGTATGACATACAGTATAGACAGTCAAGGGTGTAACTTGAATAAGTTATTAGAGAAAAATAACATACATGTGTTATTACGAATACTTTCTCTTTATCTATAGTAACATATGTTTGTTATCAGTTAAATGTACCATAAAATTTTTTATTATCAGTTGGCACTTGGGAATTCTTGAAACTTGCGCAGTAACTTAATACATAACCTTGAAAACTAATTTTCCAATTCAATTAATACATTTTTGATCAACCATGGTAAATCAATAAGACAAGGTTTTTAAGTGATAACTTAGCTGTAATAACAAGGCTTAGTTATTACAGACATTTAACTTATTACATGAGACACTTGGGAATGACTAGGAAGCTTGCGCAGAACCTCATTACATGCTCTTATCATTATTTATTACAAGAAATTAAAATACATTGTGATATATGTAGGAGAAAAGGCTTTGAAGAGATGTAGAGAAGCTGTAATAACACCCTTTAGTTATTACAGGCATATTTTTTCTGTAATAACATGGGTGTGTTATGCATGATTGGCAAACTATGGGCTTGTATATCTTTCTAAAGTTTAATATACATAAAGACAATTATAATATCAATAGAACTAGTACTCTATTTAACAAAATAAAGGATGTATAATGCCCCTTTGAAACATGTAACAAACATATGTTATCACAGATTTTTTATTTTTTAGCCCTCAATAACAAATGTATGTTATTTTTCTCTAATAACTTATTTAAGTTAGACCCTTGACTGATAGACAACTGTCTATTGTTGATGACTGTATGTTGCCCTCTAGAGTATGACAAACTGTATAGACAACTGTCTATTGTTGATGACTGTATGTCGCCCTCTAGAGTATGATATACAGTATAGACAACTGTCTATTGTTGATGACTGTATGTTGCCCTTTAGAGTATGACATACTGTATAGACAACTGTCTATTGTTGATGAGTGTTCGTTGCCCTTTAGAGTATGACAAACTGTATAGACAACTGTCTATTGTTGATGACCGTATGTTGCCCTCTAGAGTATGACGTACTGTATAGACAACTGTCTATTGTTGATGACTGTATGTTGCCCTCTAGAGTATGACGTACTGTATAGACAACTGACTATTGTTGATGACTGTATGTTGCCCTCTAGAGTATGACATACAGTATAGACAACTGTCTATTGTTGATGACTGTATGTTGCCCTTAAGAGTATGACAAACTGTATAGACAACTGTCTATTGTTGATGACGGTATGTTGCCCTCTAGAGTATGACGTACTGTATAGACAACTGTCTATTGTTGATGACTGTATGTTGCCGTCTAGAGTATGACATACTGTATAGACAACTGTCTATTGTTGATGACTGTATGTTGCCCTCTAGAGTATGACATACTGTATAGACAACTGTCTATTGTTGATGACTGTATGTTGACCTCTAGATATCGTTGGATATTTTTGTCTATGGGTCAGTCTCCATTAATTCATATTAATCACAGCAAACCTCATATAAAAGCAAAAATCAATGATAGTCATTCTGCATGTTACTTTTATTGTATAGCACTTTTGTCTCTTACATTTTTCTATTAGATTAAATTATGCCAAGCCTGCTGGCTAATAGAGTTTATCTGATCGAATGAATTCAAAAGGACCATCATCACCTCTGAAATATAATCAGCCTGCCAAACTAACCACAGCTTAATTAACTCATTCTGGTAAGGAGAAAACTTATACCAAAACTAATAGTTCATCGTAGCCTGAGTAACTGAGACCTTTAAGATGATAAAGAATAGCTAACAAGAGGTCTAGATAAAAATTTAGCAACTAAAATATACTTTTATGCCATCTTACCTCGTAGGAATAGTATCTTTGAATATATCTAACATAATCACACAGGTTTTGTGCCATACATCTGGGGAGAACTTGGTTCCATTAGAAATAACTAGATTTTCTAAACAATTAATTCCAGATCTAGCTAATTGTTCATTATCTTGTTTGACACACCAGTGTAACTGGTTATAGAGTTCATCAAGTAAAACTGTGTGTAGTACACTATAATATTGTGTGAATACATCAACAATGGCGTATAGAGCATGGTTACAGGTGGTTGTCATCCATTCTGCTTTCTGAAAACAGAAAATGTACTTTTCATTTAAATATTTACTTTCATTTTACATATATTCCTGTTAAGTTAATGTTTCTACACCTACTTGTGACACTCAAACTAAAATATTACTGCACATGGACATTGCATTTACTCATAAATTAATATGACACTAAATTACAAATAGTACTCTATGTATGGGATCACTAACTCAAACAAAGGTTTCATATAAAAGTGTTTCTTTGCTATGGTTAAAAGATAATTATGTAAATTCACACATGCTTTTTTTTTTATTTCAGTCAAAACAAGTACCATCTTTTGAAATCAATTTCACTAATTTTTTTTCCTCAAAGCAACTGAAATAATTCAATTTCAATATACTTAAATAAACTGCTTCGCTGAGCGCAGCTGGATACGCCCGCAGAGGTCCAACCCTGAACAGTTGGGGCAAAAATGGACACAATATTCAAGCTTGATACAGGTCTGAATTTGGATTGTAATTAAATATTTGATATATTATAGGTTTCTGAATAAATGTAGTCAAAGAACTTGAAATTGGTTATATGAAAGATTTCTTGCTGTTGTGCAATACACTGTGCTGTTGCGCAATACTTAGTAAATCTGTTGTCAGACAAAAAACAAATAAAATCTTATAACTCGGAAACGTAAAATCGAAAATTTATAGAAATCAAAAGGGAGCTTACAAAAATAGATATAAACAATTTACCAAAGTTTCATAAAAAAAGCTGAAAGCATTTTTGAATTATTGTCCGAAAACTGGAAAATCCCCATTTTGTAATGAATAAAACCCCACAAATCGGAAACGTATAGTCTGAAATTTATAAAAATCAAAAGGGAGCTCATTTCAATAGATATAAACCATTCACCAAAGTTTTTTGCAAATTGGTGAAATTGTTTTTGAGTTATTGTCTGAAAACTGGAAAATCCCCACTTTTTTAATGAATAAAACCCCAAAACTCGGAAACAGTAAATCCGAAATTTATAAAAAACGAAAGGGCGCTCACGTCAATAGATATGAACAATTCACAAAAGTTTCATGTAAACTGGTGAAATTGTTTTTGAGTTATTGTCCAAAAACTGGAAAATCCCCCCTTTTTTAATGAATAAAACCCCAAAACTCGGAAACGGTAAATCCGAAATTTATAAAAAACGAAAGGGAGCTCACGTCAATAGATCTGAACAATTCACTAAAAGTTTCATGCAAATTGGTGAAATTGTTTTTGAGTTATTGTCCGAAAACTGGAAAATCCCCCCTTTTTTAATGAATAAAACCCCAAAACTCAGAAATGGTAAATCTGAAATTTATAAAAAACGAAAGGGAGCTCACGTCAATAGATATAAACAATTCACCAAAGTTTCATGCATATTGGTTAAAGCGTTTTTGAATTAATGTCCGACATGTTGACGACGGACGGACGGACAGACGGACGGACAGACGAACAACGGTATACCATAATACGTCCCGTAAATGGGCGTATAAAAAATCAAACTTTTGTCATACAAATGTGCCATCCTGATTGTGAACTTTTTATTAACTTAATCTGTTGAACTTGGGTGCATGATCATAATGTTATGAAAATGAACAAGGGGAGGTAAATCACAACAATAACAAGAACAGAAATGATTATTCTACTTCAAATTGTTGTGTACCATGAGTTAGAAACAACAATTGAAAATGCAAGATAAGATAACTCTTCATTAATATTTAAGTTATCCCAACTAAAGACAACCGTGGTTTTAGGGAACCCAAGTGACAGTGTCTAAGATCTTCTGTATAACACTTTCACTGGTATTTAATAGTTTTATAAATCCTGAATACACCCCGATTACCACTAATGTAAATATATATAGAATATAAATATGAATAATTTAATTGAATTTTAATAAAGAATTTGTATATAGAATATGGTTATGAATACTGGTGCATCAATCATGATTCTATTTTTGATTAACAAAACTTATTCTTGAATACATTTCCTTTTTTCATTTCCTCTATTAAAAGTATTAAAATCTCACCATATTCAACTATCTTTATTTAGCAAGCTGTCTAGATTATATTTTTATAATAAGCATGCAACTGCTGAACTGCAATACACTAACTGTAACATGCTCTCATATTAGTTCATATTTATACTTTACAGTAGCCTACACAAAGCATAATGTTTCCACACTTAAGCATATAATAAAGTTTCCCTAGCATAAGTGTATATTTCAAAAAGGGCAGGATTATATATATGTATACTGTATAGTTTGCAGTTCTTACAAATCTCCTGTGAGCAACAGTACACTGAAATACCAGGAAAGTTAATATTTTAGTCTAGAAGCAAGGAACAATGTAGGGACAGGTCCATTAAAACCTACATGGCACTCACTAAAAGCACTCTGATGTAGCATTTGTAAATAATTGTTAAATGCAAAACTATTTAACAGTGAAAATGCATGCTTAATGAAACAAAACTGCATGTGTTGGCATGCTAAGCATAACCCCTCTCTTAATAGGAAATAGGTGTCTGGCAGAACAGAAAACTCCTCACACGTTACAATTCGTCACTGTCGAGCTGCTGACCAAGTATGAAGTAATTCTTTTGAATATTTTCTGATAAAAGTGTGAAAATATTTATTGGGCAAAATGAAGGACAGGGTGATTGCAATATAGCCCCCCTTTAGAGTGGGGTATAAAATTGATTCTTTAAATGACTACCAAAGTGCTTTCTCTAAGAACCATGTTTTTTTTCTAATGGAACATACTAAAATTATATGACCCTGTCAAGGAGATGCATCCTGATGGGCAAAGAATGTATTAAAGATATAGTCTCATTCAAGCTGCTTGTAAATTTAGATGGTTGTACTTGGTCCTTAACAAAATTCATTGATATGCAAATTTCTGAATTGCAAAAAATATATGATATTAATATTTACATACAAAACAGCAAAAAGTAATAAAAAGTGGTAAAATCTGTGTTTTACCACTTTTTATTACTTTTTATTACTTTTTTGTAAAAAAAAATTCATACTGAGGAAAAAATTTTTAATTTTTTTTTTTAACTTGGATACTTGAAACATAGACCTCCATACTAAATATTACAATGACTGGCAGCTTATCAATTTCATATTCAATTTATTATCAGGTCAAAGGTTAAGGTCTCATTACAAGGAATGCACAAACATCAAAACATGCAAATGTTGCATAATACAAAAAGCATGTAAAAAACTAGTTTGTCTGTTAGTACATAAAAACCCTGAGAGAAACAAAAATGACATAAAATACCATTCCCATGACAACTATTTAAATTACCTCAAATTCCTGGTGATTTAACAAAATACCAATATAAAAGTATTACGGGAATGTACCAAAAATTTTAAGAGTGAGTAGTGGAATTCTGTTTAGTAATAACATTCCATTTCTACAGGCAACCATTTCTAGTGAATACATTTATTAACTCACCCAAAAGAAAGGCTACATTTTAATTGCAAAAATGAACCAAAATATACTACATTTCAATGTTATATCACACAGTCATGTCTCATCAGCTCAGAATTCATATATTAAATAATTCAACTTTATTCCCCTTAGATAATTGAATAGCTGCAATTCATCAAATTTTGAAGTTGTATCCAGCAAATAAAAATACTCTGAAGTTCATTCCTTTTATCCTTATATATAAACAACAGCCAATAGTTGTCAATATTTATAAAAACTGAATTTCTTAAAAGGTTTTTAAAGTTGCATAAATCTTCAACTTAACAGCTACTTTTCATGCTTTTGAATATTTTGATGAGCTGTTGTATTATCAATGCATATTCTTTCCCTTCTTTAAATTGAGCCACTGAAGTGATACAATAGTTACAGTGTTTACTACACATGAAAATAAAATCTACAGTACCAATACGAGTATAAGTAATTTACATTATAATAAAAAAATATGGAAGGAAAATTAGTAAAACAAAGCAAAATAGAAATGAAAAATTGGCTACAATTATCAGATAATTCTAAATGGAACATCACAGAAAATCTAGCAACTGAATCACTGTAACCTAATTACATGTTCCTGACATCAATTTTCAACAATGAAAAAAGCTATGTAAGTAATGAATGTAATCGACCTTCTATCTCCCACATTTAAATTATTCGTCATAAATGATGTCTAGTTTGCTAGATTTTCTGTGTTGACTTCAGTACTTTGGTAAAAGTTTGTCATGCCATCAATGTCTATTACCATTCTTATATAGTATAATTGAAAAAGTATCGATTGAATAAACTGTAAACCAACTATTACATTAATTTCATCACACGGGTTGAAAAATTATACCAATATAAATTGTTGTGAATATATCAAAAGTGTGGATCTGCTCTTATATGAATTAATAAACAAAGTAGGAAATTAGCAAAAGTAACACAAAGTGGGCTAAAAAGAGCTATACATGAAAAAAGTATCAGCTTATATTAGTTTACAGTTCATAAAAAAAATTTTTTAAATTTTATTCTGTCTTCTCTTCCTGTCCAATATAAATACTTGAAGAAATGACAAAAGTTTCACATGCTGAACAGACATTTCTTAACAATTATAATACTTTAAAACTATATTTTCAAACACTGTACTGTAACGTCAAGTTTAATATATTATCATATATCTTTCCATTCATGACATGACAAAAAGATGAAAATAAAACTTACCAAAATAATAGAATAGTTAGTACCAATATCTGTCTACATTGTAAGTATCACACAGATCAGATGTTTAGTGTGCTGATAATACACAGCATCTATACAATAGTGTGTAAGTAGTACACAGCACATCTAGATTTCTTACAAATTTCTCACTTACAGTAGTAACACCAACCTCATTTTGTTGTTCTGGTAACTTCATATTGTCAAAGATTCGAAAAACAACTTGGAATAAATCTGCCCACCAATGGCTGAGAAATGTGTCACCATAAGTTTTCATTATCTCGAACATCACAGTAAGACCTCTGCAAGACAGAAATTAAAGTATACTGTTAAAAAAACTCAAAATTCTAGTATCATTTGTCTAAACAGACCAACTCTCTTTACCTGAGCATGTTTTAACAAATTCAAAAACATGGGTTTAAATATTTGTGTTGTCACTAAATAAAATGCATTGTTTATTAAAAGACATAATTCAATCATTTTAAATTTGCCTGCTTTTACAGTAAATCAGAAATGTTCTTGTTATATTTTCATATAAAAGGAAAACAGTCTATTCTACTGGGAAAACTGAAAATACGTCAATATATAAAATATCAACTTTTCTATTACAAGTCATTATTATTCAACAAAAAGACATTTTAAACAGCTCAAGATCTAAAGAAATCATTTAGTTATCTTCTATTTTGTTTCTTTTCATCATTGTTAAATTGATCATTGGTTACCTTGTCCTGACATCAAGTTTACATCTATTTATCACACATGAAAGCTCAAACAGAACAGGGAACCATCCTCTGACCCAAACACGATCTTCTTCTGGTACATTAATTTCATCACCACCATGGTCTCTGAACATCTAATAATGTTTAAAAAAAATTACTTAATGGACAATCATTTTTACTTGTTTTATCCCTGCACTAATAAATGATATATTTTGACTGTAAATTATTAAATATAAATTAAGAAGTGAAAGTATTTGTACTTACACAAAGGTTGTAGCTTTCGTTGTTGACCTTAGTTTTGGAATCAGGAACAAGAAAAACATGAAAAATAACAACCTTGTGGAGAGCTTTGATCACAAAAATAAACAACTTTAAATATATATCTAATATAGTATGTGAGTTAGGAACTTACCATTGGTTTCTCTGCAACATATTTCGCACAGTTTCTGATCAGTCGAATAGCCTCCATGCTAGTGTCTGGAAAAGCAGCATTACATGCAAATTCTGATAGACACTTTACTGCATCTTGGAATGAATCAATGATGGCTGCAAAATGCTGTTCAAATATATTTACTGAAAAGGAAAACATTTAGAACAATTATTAAAATAATCTAAACCAACTATTCTGACAATGAAACTAAACGGGAAGAGTAAAATAAATATAAATATGGTATATAAACTGTAAAATAAAATCTGCATTCTAAAGCATATAACTCAGAAACTACAAATATACATATTGAAATAATGATATATTTTAATGCAAAGCAAACTACCCACAAGATAGCAACTTATATCATAAATGCAATAAATTTAAAAGCGTAAGTTCATGTTTTTTTTTACTTGAGTTTAAAAAATATTAAGTACTGTAAAACTAGAAAAACGTTTGGCTGTCAATATTTAATGAAAATTTTTAAAAAAATGCTTTGTGCTGATATTTTCTCATTAATATTGAAACATGAGCAGCAACCGATCATTCTGCAAAGTTCCTATTTAGGAAATGCTAAGTCATTCAAATGTTGTGTGCAAGGTAGTTGTTTATCCTGTCAACACCAAAATCCATGACCATACATATTGATTATGACATGTAGATGGTATCACTGTGGCATTATGATTGACCTTTTGGCATTTAAATGGTAAGTTTTTTGGCCACTTAGATGTTTTTTTTACATTTTTAATCTTTTTAAAAATTATTAAGAATCAATGGTAATAAACTGTTGACACAGAGATATGTCTCGCCTGTCGGCATAAAATTCAGAAAAAGACAATCTGATGGACAGCAACAATGCTAATTAATTCAAAGTCGCTGGACAGACTAGTGGGCAGGGCCTCGAAATGGTTGATAAATTGAGATGTACAAACAGCAATGTATCTTTATAGAAAATATTGTCTACTGTAAGTAGTTTCAATCAAACTAACTTAATCATAAAACTTAACATTGAAAATTGTTAATTGATTGAAAGTAACTGGACCATGACCTAAGGGGCAGGGCCTTAACATAGTCTTCAAACTGATATGTATTGATAGTAATGCAACTTTAAAGAAAATATCATTGATCTATCGCAAGTAGTTCATATCAAACTAACTTGAGCAGAAAATTTATCATTGAATATTGCTAATTAATTGAAAGTCACTAAACCATGGCCTAGAGGGCAGGGTCTCAAAATAGTTGTCAAACTGATATGTACTGATAGTAATGCAACTTCATACAAAATATCATTGATCTATCACCAGTAGTTCCTATCAAACTAACTTAAGCAGATAACTTAACATTTAAAATTGCTAATTAAATCAAAGTCGCTGGACCATGGCCTAGGGGGCAGGGCTTCAAAATTGTCATCAAACTGATATGTACTGATAGTAATGCATCTTCATACAAAATATCAATGATCTATCACAAGTAGTTCCTATCAAACTAACTTGAGTAGAAAACTTAACAATTGTTGACGCCGTCATTGCAGCCATCGCCAGAAAAGTAATCCCTATGTCTTGCTTTCCGCAATGAAAGTCGCAGGGAGACAATAATGACTCTGATCATTCTTCCTGATCCCTTTTAAACACCAATACAAATTTAAGCAGCAGATTGATTTAAAAAAAAACAATATACAAATACTTGTACGTTATAGTATACTTTTGTTACAGTAGGTGTTCAAAAGAAATGGGATATAGTGTGCAAAAATACTTTGACTAAAGAAAAATTTTATTTTAATTGTTTACACATGATTGTATGAACTACACATAGGTATCAAGGGAAAAACTCAAATGAAAAGGAAGATTGTTGAAAAAAAACAAACATACAAATACATGAAATATCAAGTTAAATACATTTAAAAAAAAGAAAATACTAATGCAATCCCTACACATTTAAGGTAGATCATAGGTATATATTTCTTGAGATAGAATTTTCTTATACTTTGCCAAAATGAAGATTTTAGTATGCTTTTTTCAAAAATATAATAAAAAGTATGGGTCACCGTGCTATTTTCCAAGCTATGAGTCGTTGAAATTTGCCTAGATTTGGTTAGATTGTTCATGAAAAAACACATTTGTGTGCATAAAAAAAAATCTATGAGATAGAATTTTGAATAAATTGTGAGAAGATAGGTTTTATAATATGTTTTAAGAAAATAAAAAGAAAAAATGGTGACACCGAACTTGTTTTCATGCTACAAGTAAAAATTAAAAATTTCCCTATCAGTCTAGTATATATTTTTTACTAAAAGAGTTATCTTCCCTGAAATGGCTTATTTGAAAAAATTGATTCTAATAACACAAAATTTGATATTTGTTTAAATATTTTGAGTTATACAATAAATCACCAATTTTTATTTACATAAATAAACAGTCTAACCAATAAATTGTAAATCTGTCTCCAAATTTGCAGATTTAGGCAAATAACTAGACCGATTTTGTACAGGGATTGTACAATCCAAGATGGCGGTATACCATGAATCTACCTTAATGTTACATAAAAGATGTAAATAGATTAAGACTAAGTATCAGGAGTACAGGATTTAAACACAAAACCACACCAAACTCCATATATACAATTCACACAGTGATAAAACCATGAGGTCATAAAAGATTTATCTCCCCTTTCTAAATAGTAACAGCGAATTATGTCAGCTGGTAATAGTTCCAATGAAAACCTAAATGAATTAAAGATATTCCCATAGAATAGAATATACTACAGCAATGCAAATACTGTGCTGAGCAGCTAACCTTTATCTACAGACCAGCTAAACAGACCTTGTCCTTTAGGTGTCGGAGTCACTGAAATTGTACCAATTCCATTCATAGTTTTTTTTTTATTAAATGAAAATTTACCTTTTTATGAGAGAAAAGGAAAAGCACAACTTTACAAAACTATCTTTTTTTCAAGAACTAAAGTGATAGAATTTGTTCTCGATAATTCAAAAAATATATTATAAATACTATGTTTAAGAAACTCATACATTTCTTTTTTCAAAGTATCAGTATTGTTCATTCTTATAATGAAAATAACCTAGACATAACTTCACATTCCATGCTGAAAATACCATTTTTATTTTTAAATATTACATGTGGATCTTACTCTCCATATAAAACATAAAACACTTATGAATCATTTGAAGTAAACTGTATTCAAATATTTCTCTCATGCCAAATAATATTTAAATTTACTTCAAGATCACATTTAAACACTACAAATTGCTGTGTGAAGCTTTTAATCAACAACAAAAATATAATACTTGTAACAGGCATCAGCATTGGTGAATATAAAACACTGTGCCACTTCTGTTTAAATGAAATCATTAATTATACTCACATATGATTTTACCCGTTGTTTGGAATGCTAGTTCTACAATAGCTTCATCATGATCTGAGGCTGCTAAATGAAACACACTGAATATATTCTTCCAACCAGATTTAATGTTAGCTGCCTGGGAATTGACCATCTGTGCAACACATCTCACAACCATGTCTCTTATTGTAGGAGATCTGAACATATATACAAAGAGAACAATTACAAGTGACACGCACATCTTCTCACCTTTTTGTTCAAAGGAAATTTTATATTTTAATTTTGACAAAATTAATGTGAGAAGTGAAAAAAGCTTCTGAGCAAAAAATACCCACAATAATTGTTTGTAAATCTATATGTCATACACAAATCTTTTAGATCTCTAATGTAAAACAGCTATTGCTTTGAGCTTCATGAACTAAACACATCTGAATAAACCAAAAAATATCTATCATTAACATGTCTTTTTAATTACAGTTGCTTACACTGTAAATAAAGTTTGTTAGCTTTAACTTTAATAGTAATTCTAACCTATTTCTTTTCATGATATGTTCAAAGGGTCTAAGGAAATCTTTTTGGAATCTGAAGTTAGAAAATTCTCCTTTCTCCAAAAACTTCATAGACAGCTGTCTCAGAGAATCCACAGCAAAAAATGCAATGTCTTCATTGGGGTTACATCCAACCTTAAATAAATTATAAAATTCTAACAATGAGGCAATACGTGACAGAAATTAAAGAGCAATAATGCAGATAAACAGTTAAATTATTGCATATGAGCAGTACAAAACTGCAAAAATTGAACGTAATATTAGAGAAAAAATTATTACTATTTATTATACGCAGTATCCAAGCAAACAGAAGTTAGCAGTCATGTTATCTTATTGCAATGTTAAATTATATATACAGGTGTCATCTTTTATTAGAAACCTAAATAACTTATTGTGATATGTATAATGTTTTGTATATATTTTTTATTAACTGTTTATTGTATTATAATTCATGTTTATTATTATATATTTACTTAATGTTACGCATATATGTTTATGAGCGTTGCTTTATAATAAAATCTTGAAAATTTTGAAATATATGTTTGTGTGTATGGCATTCTAAGTAAATATTGTTTTTGACCATTCAACTAAACTTTGAAAGTATTAGCTACCGAAATGTCTTTTAAAAGAGATTATTTCTGCAAATGAAGAAAAAAAAAGAATAATGAGATTATGACAGTGCTTTATATAAACATGGACAATAAAATAAGACAGTGCTTATAAACATGGACAATAAAATAATTACAGTGCTTTATACAGTACCTTATTAAAGTGGTCACCAAGAATCTGCCATATTCTAGACCACTGCAACCTAATTCTACCCATGTTATAATAGGAAATCTCCACAATCTTGGTCAAACTGAACATTCTAGGATGACTGACATGTGCTAGCTCATCCATGGACACTTGGCATAAAGCTTTCACAAATTCAACTGAAATAAAGTTATGTTCAAATTTTTGACAGACATTTATTATTGTAATTATTGAACAATGGACAAAAGTTCAATATTAATGATAACAATGCTAGGAAATGCTGCATACAATTAATGCTATCCAAATTTATATTCATGTTTTTATGCTTTTGAGATCTACTGTGTCCCAATTTTCACAATAATAAAAACTTTGCAAAAATTTCTGAATTCAAAGTATCACATTTTATAGAATAAGTCTTGTGAATGATTTACTGCGTGAATGAACACTAAGACACAGGCTGTAAAAGCTTCCAAGATTTAATCCATGTTTTCACTTAAATTATAAATTTGAGTTTTCTTTTTTATCCTAAAACATGAATAAAATATCTTTTAACTTCTTTTCTAACTTCTAATTTACATTAAATTTTAAACAAAAGACAAACCAATAGCTTCTCCATCCAATTTGACAGATCCTGTGAATATCCTATCTACAGCGACGACCACACTTTGTGAACTGGTTTCTCCCATCTGTTCCTGTAGGTTAGCCAAACGTTTGGAATCTAATCCTCCTCTGGCAATAACTGGAAGAGAGATAAAATCTTATCAAAGCCTTAAATACAAAGATATAATAGCTGTTAATACTTATATTATCTATCATATTTATATTGTATTCCAAGGCAATATGCTTACATAAATATTTACATTCAACATTTCACCTCAGATATATTGAAAAATTGTGTGAGTTTTAAAATCACTTTTTTATAAAGTATCTCAAGAAGTCAAGTATTTGATGAATCTGAGTTTTTTCAAGAAAAGCTATATACATATGAAAATATATGACTTACCTTCAGGATCAAATGCCTCTATTGGGTGTCCACCATGCATATCTCCTTTACCTGGAGACTGTCTGCTAGGTTTTACACCTGTACCTATCAACTGGGCTAACTCTAGCTGGGAAATACATCTCAGTATCTGAAAAAGAAAATTAACAATTTTAGTATTAGTATTAGTGGACAGTCAGAGTCTCACCATAAATTTTTATACTTAACTACAAATTATACTGCCATAAAAATATGTAAAGAAAATTGAATTAAAAATACTTAAAACTTCAAGGTATTTTTAATCTGGTGAATAGTCCAATTTAAACATAACTTTTTATTTACAAAATAAATATGTTTGATAATTACCTCCAGCCAAGATTTTCCCAGATAGTTTCCGTCAGTATGAGCAACTGATATCAGTGTTTTGATTGTGTCTATGTTTTTACTTTTCATCTCCGTCAAGGGTGAGGCTGCAGTCAACAGTGTAAATCTAGCTAAAGCCTGAACATAAGCATCTCTCTCAAGCTGGTAAAAGAAAAATATAATTATCTTCTCATGCATTAAAACAGGAATTAAAATCTTGATAAAATATGCATTATTCTTCCTATTTGTATGAGAGCTTGTACAATACAAAAACCTGTATACTGGAAATTTAGAAATTTTAGCGAAAATTATGATGAGATAGGTTGACAAATATACCTCAGACTCACCTTTTATAAATATCTATATGAAGCATGTCCTGAATTTGTAACAGATACTCATATATTTTTCTTTGTTCAAAAATTCCAACATTAAATGCATGCAAAATTTCTGAATTTCCAGTACATGCATGAGTTTCTATAAATACTGAAAGTTTGGTAAAAAAATTATTTTTCTGACATCTTGACCTCGTAAAAAAGTGACAGCTTATAAAATAAAATAAGAAGGAAATTTAATTCACATGTTCCATCTGAAAAAAAAACCATCTAGTGTGGCTTCTTTAAGATTTGTGGGATACCAGTTTTCGTTGATTTCGTGTGTTTAGGTAAACCATGAATTTAAATGTTCAACAAACTACAAATTTTTCATGGACTTGTTTGCAGACTTAGGCAAAGCCACGAATTCAAATATCCACCAAAATGTGAAATTTCATAAATCCACGAAAATTAATATCCACGAAAATATATGAATCCACAGTATCAGAAGAATCTCACTTTCATGTAACAAACACATGACATTTGTTTTAAACATCTGATATTAAAATTGATAAAAAAAAATGTTTGCACTCACCTCCATACGAAAAATACATGAAATCCGTATAGCACATCTGATGCCATCCAAACAGAGTAACGCAATGTTAGCATCATCACAGTCCTGTAAACCTACACTGAAAGCAGCCAGGAATGGGGTCCAAGCCATCTATAACACAAATTATTTGTCCTCACATTATTGATACATTGTATTTTGTAGTTTTGAGTCATTATAAAGGTGTTACATTAAATAAATTAATTCCTGGATGTAAAACTTATAATCTGTCAATACATTATATTTTTATATAATCTATGTATTTTTTCTACTGGCTAAAACAGAGCAAGCAAGAAATGTAGCATATTTTAAGAAGCAAGCACTTCTGTGCAAAATGTTCCATTTTACTTACATTTCATTGCTTAAAACTTAAAAAATCAGTATTCAATTTCTTAATAAAAAACATATACATTGTTTTCTATGTATTGCAATTCTTATTCTATTCATCCACTATATAGCATACAATTACCTTAAACATTGGTCTAACATGTTCAAAATGTGTAGCACTAGTGAAAAAAGAATCAACATGACTGACAGACTCCATCAGTGCCTTAGCGGTGGCAGCCATGTTGTCCATTTCTACATTATACAACATTCTTCTCTGCTTATCGCTGGTTATGTCCTCTGAAAATTCATATTAAACATTCATTGAACCAATCATATCCTTCTGCACTTCATTGTACTGTGGAATCACTATTATTCTAGGGATACCAATGTTCATGGATTTCGTGGGTAAAAGGTTATCCACAAATTTAAATATTCAACAAAGTACATATTTTTTAATGGCTTTGTATACAGACTTTAATAATTCAATGATTTCAAATATCCATGAAAATTTAAATTTTCCTCAATCCACAAAAATTAGTATCCATGAAAATTTAAATTTTCCTCAATCCACAAAAATTAGTATCCATGAAAATAAATGAATCCACAGTAATTGATATTCAACAATGTTGATTTTTGTTTTTATTCTGATCTGAACTTGCTCAGGATGGAGTTCCCACAACATTATCAAAATTACTGAAAGCAGTTTACATTTAAAGAACTGTTGAAAAAAATTACCAGTAACATTACATAAAGTTTCTATTTAATATCCAATGACTTTTTGCAACAAAATTTATTAAATAAGTATGTGTAATGCATTTTTTAAAATAATCAATTGCAACTTTATGACCAATTCTTATTTATAAAACCAGTGCATGGTAGACAACAACAATTATTGTAAACCAACTAATTTGAGAGATATTTATTTTTGAGACTTTTGCGAGTGGACAAATAATGCAAATATAAATCATCATGAATATGTAAAACTAGGATCTTTCCTTATTCAACTACATCAAGTAAATTTGAAAATCACAAAATTAAATCTCCATGAAGTGGACTAGAAAGGGCTAAATGCAAAATTAAGTTGGTTTACAGTAATCAGTTTGGTATCTTACTTCCTTGTTTATTTGGTTGTTTTATGACAGCTCCTACTTTCATTTTGATTTCATTTCCAGCAATCTCATCATAAATGGCAGACAGATATTCTTCTGGTAAATCTTTACTATCATTTATCCCACGATTCATTCTGATATACTGCTCTTTTGTCATTTTGTTTCGGACCTTCATAAAGACAATTAAATAAAATGACTAAATATATCCTCCAAAATTTTTCATTGCTTGTATGATATATTTTTAGTGCATAACTGCTGATAAACTAAGTAGATAGAACCTGAATTCATACTTTTATTCATAAGTACACATTTTTTCCCCAAACCCTATTTCTTTATATTTCTCATAGTTTTGGAACTATACTTTTTCCTTTGCTTTCAAAAACAGAAAAGAGATAACTAATTTTCATGTAACTTGTCAGATTAATTTGTAACTAGAGATATCAAAATATTTGCCATGTTCAAAAATCAACCCCATCAATATGCAAGAGCTTCAGGTTGACTTCAACATTCCTTCTCAACAATTTTGGTTTCAATAACTTGGGTGTCCTTATCATCAAATATGATTTCTTTTTTAATTTTATACCTTTATATCTTTAAACTTCGGTAATTAAAATGCTTATTTCAAAATAAAGCACAAACTTGGTGTTGTAAAGAAAAAGAAGATTCCAATATTGAACTGTTTTACCTGAGAACTGTGCAGATCAGTTGTCAACATGATGATGGAATAAGCCAATACGTAAGCCGTGTCAGCACTAGCAAATACTTCATTACTGAAAATATAGAAAGCTACTTCTTGAGTATTGGGCAAATTCATCACCTTTCTCACTACATTTTAAATACATTAAACGAATGTGCAATTAAATATTAATTAAAACTAAATTATTTATAACTGCAAAACAACTAAAGCAAAATTTAAAATAAGCTAACTCGTATAAAATTTGTTTCCCTTTATAGGACAGGCAGACTGACTGATAGAGGTAAATCAATATTCCCCCTACAACATAGAAACTCTATATTGTAGGGGGGTCAAAAGAAAGTAGTTCAAAAACTATTTGCAGGTCAATTACAAGTATTCAAATATACTTACTTAATATTACAGGAGAAATATCTGGAAGCAAATTTTTCCATGAGCCTGTCTATTTTCTGAGATTCACCAGGCAGTCTGAATCCCTCTAGAAATCGTCTAAGAGCGGGGATAAATTCCATTTCTGTTAGGTCAAGTTTATCTACATAGGCATACATAACTTCTTTGTTTATTCTAAGAATAAAAAACATGGTAAATGGCAAATATTTCATGTGTGAGACCTATCATTCAATAATATCAATATTATATATTTATATCTTAAATATGATAAAAACTGTCAATATAGTTTAAAATGTAAAGCTATACAAACATAACTTAAACCTGGCCATATGGATTTCTTCCATGTTTTCCTGGTCCAATATTATTTTTTTCATATTGGCCCAGTTACAACTCATATTGGACTTGTTTTAATCAATAAGAGTATAACTGCATAATGTTTTCATCTTGGTCTACTAGTCAATTATCACAAGTGTGATGCAACAATACTATATAGTGTTTAACATAGCTACAAAGGTCATTGTCATGACAAAAATGATATGCAGGTATGAAGAAAAATCAAACTGTTCTAATATTTTATAGATACCAATTATATAACTAGCAGCATTTTTTGTTGGTTTTTTTTCCAGGTATACATATTAATTTCGTATTTTTTTTATTTTTTTCAGTTAAATTTGGTGTGAAAAATATTTTTTTTATGTATCTGATCAATGACAACATCTCCAGAGATCTTTCCACTGTTTATGTTTATCTTTCAATCATATTTATCATGTAGAGTAGAAGACAATTGCTTAAATTCACCCACAATCATGCATTATATTATTATGAAATACTTACTTTTCATTTTCACCAAGAAAATCTCCAACAACTGTCTGTAAATAAATAAATATGAATACTTTAGATCTCTGTTTAAGTTTTCTAAAACACTAAAAACTTAAAAACATGGCAGATTGAACAGTGCAATGTAAACTGAATGTCCATTCATAAATACATGGACAATTAGTCAGACAAATCAACCATTATATCATGTTTTTCAATATCTTAATATTATATAATAATAATTCTTTAGGAAAGTTAATTTTTATCAACATTTATACCAAACCTACATACATATTTGTCTAATCCTATGCTGAAGACATTATAAAAGTATTCAACATACACAGCATCCCTTATATTTGTATAGAACTTTGTGACATTGTATATGTTCAAGTATATCTAATTTTTTTGTATCTTGTCATCGAAAGACAGATACTAAAGCCATATTTGTTAATTTCTTGTGCCATATTAATCTTTTTTTTTAAACTGTTTAAATACTAAAAACATAGCTTTATGTATGTCATTTTCAATCAGAAACAATAAACTGAGAACAAAAAGCCAATATTTTACCGTGTCCATTCTGTCATCACTATGGAACCATTCAGCTAGATCATCAGGTGTATTACCCAGAAGTCCCTGTTCCTGTAAGTAGGCTATACCTTTCTTTGGTTTCTTATTGAATCTGTTAAAAAAGATGTCAGTGTTATACAGAGAATTAAGTGGACTTTAATTTAAGCACATTCCATCATTTTTTAGCAAATCAAAACCATGCCAGTCATGGTGTATGAAACTTGTCTAGTTGGTTCTTGATCTTTAAAAAAATAATAGAATTAATCTAGAACATTAATGCCCCCACTCAAGCTTCTATACAAACGAAAATGGGACGGGAAGACAGAAAGACAGAAAGATGGACAGTCAAGGGTAACACTTAATGTCCCTGTCGCCTATGGCGGGGGCATCAAAATTGGTTTAACATTATATATAAATTCTATTATAAGGATATGCATATGAATAATAGTAATAAGAAACTGTATCAGTTACATGTTTCATGTAATTCCATTAAAAAGTCACACTCATTTATGGAAAAATTAGTTATTCTAAAAAGTGTTATCTTATTTTTAATTCATATCAATGCTAATGACAATCATGAACTTTATGTTGGGTAAAATGTGTGGATTCCTCACAAAATCCTCGCACAAACTTTTCAAATGAAGACTTGCAATGAAAGACATTTCTGCACTTTTTTTGTTAATGTCCACTTCTGTTTTTGTTTAGCATTTAGTATATACCCTTTCTCTTTATTAGTTTGTTAATGCTCTATTTTTTGTTACTGTTAAACCATACTGCTGGAGGAAATCTGTGTACTTTACTAGGACTGTTCCATTAAAACATACATGCTACCCATGTAAGGCACTTTGAAAATGAGGTTAACAAGTAAAGAATGAGTTTATAGACTTTCTCTTACATTTTCATTGTACAACAAAAAGGTCTTTAAAACCCACCCAAGTAATGGCACCCATAGTGGAAATTTCAATGTGCCTCTCTATGTCTAATGTATTTTTTTTACGGAAGAGCCATAACAGAACTAAGAATCATGTCTTGGAAAATAGGGACAGATAATGCCATCTTTATTTTCAATTTAGATCTACAAAATCCATTTCTAAGTTTCTATTAACTTACAATTCAATGCCATGTTCCCAGATTTCCTTTTGTTGTTTTAATGTTTCAAACTGCTCTGGATTATCCAATGGCTGACTGCTAGTAAGTTGTGTGCTATTATTAGAGTTAAGTGAGTTCACACTACCATAACTTGTCATTGTACCCTTCCCAGAATCACTATCGGTTTCTGTAGACGGTTTACTCTCTTGACCTACAATGTATGCATAAAAAATCAAGGGAACAAATACAGTCGAGTAGACCCACTTGCACAGATAAGAACAGTGTTCTCCCCAGAAATTTTGGATAGCATCACATTTGGCGTAAAAAATATACTGTATTTTTTTTCAATGTCATTTGTCGCGTGGCGGCAATGCTCTCTTTCCTTTAAGTTGTTTACATTGTTCAATTCATAACTGAGAATACAATTAAAGTATAACAGTTGTTTCAGTTTATGTCTTCTATATTTATTTATAGTAACAGAATTATATTTTTCCTCTTGTCAGAAACTACCAACTAAATATCTGGTGCAAAAAAGGACTGTTTTTTATATCAAAAAGGAAGAGAAAGTATCATATAGCAATAAAATTTCAATCAAAAAACTATTCTGTTTATCATGTCTATGAAATTCATTGTTTCCTGGGACTCAATGTATTAGTCACAGTTGTTTCTTATCAAAATGATATATATTTTTAACAAAGTTAAGCTAATTTAATCAGTATATTGAAACAATGCATTTACAAAATGAATACATTTACCTATTTAATCACTCTTAATTGCCTCTATTGTCCGACTTGAAGGGATTACAATTAAAGGTGATATTATATAATTTTTATTATCACAAGCGGTAATTAGATGAAAGTTCAAAAATAAGGACATCGTTTTGCGGTTTAGAGACAAGAAAAAATAGCATCCTTGAAATAATTATAGCATCGCGTAAATTATTATAGCATCAAGGGAAAAATTATAGTGGTGGGATGCTAAAACGGCCTGGGGAGATCACTGAAGAACTTTCTGTTTTTTGAAGAAAAAAAAACGCTAATAGATTTTCAAAAAAAACATGGCGATTTTATGACTAATTATTTCCATTAATTTAAATCAATCTTAATAACACATATTTTGACATTTTCTTGTCTTATTAGCAGTTTTAAGTTTCTGTAAATAACAGAACAGATGCCAAAATCAGCAGTATAAAATCAGTTAAAACTTTATGAAACTGGTACTTACAAAAACTATAACATTAATATGAAGTTCTACTAAGGAATGTACCACATTGTGAAATTGCAAATTTGGTTAACATAATTTCAAGGTTTGCCCAGCAATCAGTTTTTTTTTTCACATGAACATACAATGCATTATATTCAAAGTTTCATTCCATATAAAGAACATACCTAGATTAGACTGTGAATGAGGATTTACATACAAATCTTTACTCCATTCTACCAAGCATTTCATTATAGAAACTAAACATTCTAATCCCTTTATTCTCATACTTCTTTCCTGGTTGGGAGTAGCACCTGAAATAGGAAAAAGATAACATGTATGTCATAAGCCAACCTATTAGTTCGAAATATAACTGTCAATTTGAAACAAAACTTTCTACCTAAATTTTCACAGGAAGTAAAATTCCCTGCTAAAAATTTTCCAATCTACTAAAATCTGACAGCACAGTATTCAAAACTGTTTCTACAGCTTTCAAAGACATGGTATTATATACAAAATATCTTCAATTTTCATCTGGTTTTCAAAATTGATCCTACAGCTTTTAAAAGACATGCTCTTTAAAATCACAATTGCCTTCAATATTTATCATATTCACTAGAACTTGTAAAACTAACAAATTAAAAATTCATGGCATGAATTTTTCAGTCCAGATAAATCATAAGTTTAATATATACTTACCAAGAGCTAAAGCATGTCGACCTTGTGCAAGTTTTGAAAGATCGTTTACAAGTCTTTCAAATATATTGGCTAATGCTAAATCACAATCATAATTCAAATAGATGTCAACAACACACTGTGCATCTACAATACAGAAACAAAGGTCTTATTTATAACATTCTGTTATATTCGGAAAAACAGCATATTTAAGAGTTGTTTGTTTTATTGTGTAAATATTCAAACAGCTTTTTTCAAACTGTCAGATAAATTTTCATTTTTTTTTCAAACAATACTTTATTTTACCAAATTTTTGCCTGTGTTTCTATAAGCAAACAAAAGTAAATCATATCAGCATAGTACATTAGCATTCATAATTCTAATATCTTCCCATGATTCTAAACCACCTGTATATTACAATAGCACAGCAGGAAACAATAAAATAGGAAAATATTCACTATTTTCATGTATTTCTATACATGCTCTTTCATTGAACTTTCTATAACAAGAATTAACACAAACCTATTAGATCAAACACCAAATTCCAAAAATGACAAAAAACATTGAAAGATGACAAAAGAAATCCACTTATTCCATAAAACCCATTAGTGATTCCGTTAAAAACTGTTCTTTAATTTTTCATTACCTGCACAAATTCTGGTTAACACTTGTATAACCATCCATTTATGTTCAAAAGAACTACTAGGAGTCTCCAGTATATACAGGAATATTTCTTTAAAGAACACCTGTAACAATGAAGAATTTGGTAAACATTATTATATATTCTTCTGCCTTAAGATTATTACAAGTAAAACAATTTCAATATATTTGACTTTTTTTTTACCCTGACATTCAACAAATTTGAAATGCAACTAAATTTAATATTGTTTCTTACATTTTTAATTCCTGTAAATTTAAAGAACACATATATTCTATTATTGTTTATATTGCTCCAAGTTATTTTTCTGTCCTTTTTTACACTTGAATTAAAAATGTTTTTGTAAAATTTGATTTCTTTGTCCACTGTAAAAAAAAACAAGTTCATTTAAAGGCAGTGCTTAAAAACACATTTTTACACTTTAATAACATTAATACTAAATAAAAATATGATAATTAAAAATCAGATATTAATATTGTGTATCTAAGTTAAGAAATTCATAACAAATTATTCCATTTATCAAAGGTTCAAAAATATAAGCTTACCTCAATCTGCATCTTGAGATGTTGTTTAAAGTTTGATAATAATGTCAGAAATATGGCTAAAGACAGTTCAAACACATCAGGAACAGAACTAACTCCATTCTTAGACAATGCTACACATAAGTATTGTTTAATTGCATTGATAAACATTTCATTTGTCTTAAACACTGGTCCTGCATTCTGAAGTATTGACAGTAACAACTGAAGGGACAGAATTTTGGAGCGCAGTTCATGTGATCTGAAAAAAGAAAGATGTTTTCACTTTTAATTATCAAACAACTATTCATTCTCATAGTAAATGATTAAAAGTTGAGCTTACAGAGCATAAACTGGTAACTAAGATGTGTCTTGACTGTGTGACCTAATCGCAAACGTAATAAATGTTGAAACCGCCTACAACTGTGCCGGAAACATCAAGCCTTAGACTTGCTATTGTGACTTGTGACAAGCAAGATGAAAAATTAAAATTTAAACTGTATTTCACTTTACATAAATAAATTTAGATTCACTTTGCAAATGGACAATGTGTCAGATGCTTTTCCTCCATAAATATGCACTTTTAAATGAATTTTCAATGTTAAATTAACTTCAATTGTACATCTTTTACTAAAGAAAATAATATTCCCTCAATTTTTGAATTATAAAGGAAATGAACATTTCATTTTTTGTTAAATATTGAGATAATAGAGAGAAATATAAGGTTTAAAATAGTAGAGGAAGAAGCAGTAGTTAGTTATTGATTGTGTCTACAACTTTGATATGCATATTAGGCCCATCAGAGAGAGAAAGAGATCATATTTGACAAAAAAGTGAGTAAATAGTTGATTGTATCTACACCTGTGATATACATACTTTGGATCAGGAGGCCCATCAGCCAATGGTTTCATGGATAATTTACACAGACTTCTGAAGACAAGGAATGCATCTTTCTGTAGGATATGACTAAATACACCTTGGGGCATCTCTGGGGATTCTGCATTCTCCATGCCTTCTGGTTCATCATCTAACTTGTTCAATGCTAAAAAAATAAAATTTATTGAAACTTGAAAAAAAGTTGTGATAAAAAAATTACATCCGTCTAAAAGCCTTAATAAAAAATATAATAGCAAAAATATTTGAAATTTTCCTAGATTTAAAAAAAAAAGAAATGAAATTTAAAAAGATGTTAAATCTATCTTTTTTACATTATTACTATCCTCCTAATATCTAGTGAGCATAAAATATTTCACAATATACACATTATAAATTACCTACAATTTTAATGTTGTTAAACCTAGATTTCTACTGGAAATTAATAAATACTTATTTTACCACATGTGCACAGAGAATTATTTCTTCTAAAAATATGTACAATGGTAGTAACTAATCAAGTTTTAGCATACATATATCAAGTAAGAATGATATAAATATAGCTTGTCATGCTAAGTAATAATATAAATCTCAGAACTAATATATTCATAACACTATGCTTCATTTGCTTCTGAAAACTATCATTACCATTCTATAGATAGCTTGATTAACTAGGTACCAATGTTGTATTGAACTTTCTCTAATTCTTCGTCAATTTATCCCTTTCTGCACCCATTGTATACAAAAAATTTAATCAACGTGTGGTTCGTTTGATCTCAGTTCTTCATTGGTTAAAATCCGATTAAGACGTCGAATTTTCTTGCTTTCCTCTGAATTTCCTATTGTGTCGGCATGAAAAAAGGCGACCATGCCTGATGACGTCACATAGAAAGAACACATCTTTTTGCAGATCATTCGAAAAGAAGGAATAAATTTGCCTGCGTATTGTTTGAAAATCATTAGAGAAACAGATTCCACCACCAAATCTCGTGTAATACGATATTTATCCACTCTCGACAGTTAAATTTTAAATATTTAAAACGCTCGGCAAGCCTCACGTTTTAAATTTGAAAATTTAACTGTCTCGAGTGGATAAATATCGTATCACACTCGATGCAGTGGTAGAATCTATATTTATTGAAACATTTGTCTTAAAACAACCAAAATTTATAGCCTTCCTTGTGATTTCAACACAACTAATGGTCTCGTCAGTAGTCATAATTTCTTAGATATGGTATAGCAATTCTAACATTTGTCAAACGAACCTTTGAAATTTACAATTTGAAAACAGATTTTAGAGAATGAATCTATTGTAATAGTCAGCGCTGACCCCTAAAATACAGGATACAGCAATTATGAAAGATAAATATGGGTTGTCATGCTAAGTGATAATATCCCTTTAAGAACTAACATATTCATAAAACTATGCTCTGATTGCTTCAAAAACTAGTATTTCCATTTCATATATAGCGTGATTAACCAATTTCTGTGTTCATTGATCATATATGGACAAAAAGTGACATAACCTAAAGTGACACCATTCAGTGCAGAACACTAAATATTATAAGTGGAATTGTGGATTGCTAGTAAGAAGTTCACACACTCAGGATTGTGTGTGACTTCAGAAACAGATCTATTTCACAACAAACACAACACATGTACACACAACATCTATTTACCATAACCACTTCCACTTCTGCTTTGTGAAGACTGAGAAGTTGCTTCCCCTTGTTGTGAAGATGCCCTAGAGGTTGTCTCCCCCTGGTTTGAAGATTGGGAAGTTGTCTCCCCTTGCTGTGTAGTTTGAGAAGTTGTTTCCCCATCCCCAGTTTCTACTTGGGAGGAAGAATGAGTTATGGGCAAGGAACCAGCACCTTCCATGCTTGTATTAGGTTGCTCTAAAAATTCAACAAAAAACTGTTAAGTATTAAAAGTAAAAGCACAAAAAAGTTAAATTATATATGAGGTAAGCTATTAAAACAAAATTAATACTACTGAAGTGTCAAGTCTATGAAACAGGCAATGCTACAATCAAAATTTGACTACCTGTATAACTTTTTACTTAAAATATAGAATTTATAATTTATCTTTGGAACTGAAGGATTTGGGGATTAATTAGTGCTTTTCATTGTACATTTAGTAGAAAATTACCATATCAATGAATTATCAGCATTCTGTACAAAATTTCAATAAATAACAAAACCTACAAATATAAAATATCTATTTCTTGTCTCAGCACTAATACAACATTCAAACTGCATGGCTAACCTAGTAATGTTTACCAATCATGTTGTAAATTATTTTTAAAGTGCCTGCTTCCTACACTTGCACTATCTAGAGTGGTATTAACTAAATGTTCATACAAAGGGCATTGATTTAAAATGCAGTAAAAACATGTAAACAATGCATGTGAATATATAATAATATACATATACTGCTGTTATATGATCAAATCAAAGATTAAGCATTCTGTAAATACATATATAGATGGAGGAAGAATTACATGGAGGTAATATTAAATTTTGTGGTGTGATATTTTGGTTAAATGAATTAGCAAAAACAAATTTTAGCATAAACATCATGATGCACGGTTTGGTCAATAATCAGAGTTACAATGTATGGTTTAGATATTTCTACAATTACTTCTGGCCTTCACAATGTATATAATATATTTTTTGCTTACAATATCAATATTTACTTCTACTCCAACAACAAAATAGTTTTTGTTCTTGAATTTATTTATAAATAAGTATGCAATACGATGCACATTCTTTTTCCCTCATACTTTTCATTCAACAAGATATGGTTTTGTATACATGCACATACTACATACCTTCATTTTTTTGTTTTGTATAATGATATTTTAAACAATTTATATTTTATTGAAAATATTAATATGAGAGAAAAACTTAAACCAATGCATTTATTTTTCAGCTAAAAAAAACATGCTGTGAAAGTAATATTATTTTTGTAAATCAATTTTCAGTTTCTGAAAAAAAATATGGAAAATACCATAAAGTGAAAATTTTTCTTTATGATTTATTTTTGTTTATCAAGCAACTAAGATAAAATCGCAAAAATTATCTCCACACATAATTTGCTTTAAAAAGATCAGAAGCATCTTGTAACAAGAAATGATTGTAACAGGATGCTGTTACGAAGTCTCCCAAACGAAGCTCCCATAATTCGTAATTCCCAGGGTCGCCTGACATTGGGCAAAGTCCAGTGAAAATTGGTTTGGTCCAGTAAAGTTATATGCATAAGTGATGCCTAAGGACTAACCCTGTATATCATTCATATCATCTTGGCATGACAAACCAGAATATGTATGGTTTAGGGGTGGGGATCTCGACCATTTACAAGATATTAGAACTTTCTCAAATGGCAGGGGGTCGGGATGACCCCTGGGGACTAACCCTGTATATCATTCAAACCATCTTAGCATGACAAACCAGAATATATATGGTTTAGGGGTGGGGATCTTGACCACTTACAAGATATTAGAACTTTCTTTAATGGCATGGGGTGGGGTGACCCCTGGGGACTAACCCTGTATTGCATTTCATGTGCTTTATCATGACAAACCAGAATATATATGGTTTAGGGGTGGGGATCTCGACCATTTACAAGATATTAGAACTTTCTCAAATGGCAGGGGTCGGGATGACCCCTGGGGACTAACCCTGTATATCATTCAAACCATCTTAGCATGACAAACCAGAATATATATGGTTTAGGGGTAGGGATCTTGACCACTTACAAGATATTATAACTTTCTTAAATGGCATAGGGTGGGGGTGACCCCTGGGGACTAACCCTGTATTTCATTTGATTTGCTTTATCATGACAAACCATAATATATATGGTTTAGGGGTGGGGATCTCAACCATTTATAAGATATTAGAACTTTCTCAAATGGCAGGGGGTCAGGATGACCCCTGGGGACTAACCCTGTATATCATTCAAACCATCTTAGCATGACAAACCAGAATATATATGGTTTAGGGGTGGGGATCTTGACCACTTACAAGATATTATAACTTTCTTAAATGGCATAGGGTGGGGGTGACCCCTGGGGACTAACCCTGTATTTCATTTGATTTGCTTTATCATGACAAACCATAATATATATGGTTTAGGGGTGGGGATCTCGACCATTTATAAGATATTAGAACTTTCTCAAATGGCAGGGGGTCAGGATGACCCCTGGGGACTAACCCTGTATATCATTCAAACCATCTTAGCATGACAAACCAGAATATATATGGTTTAGGGGTGGGGATCTTGACCACTTACAAAATATTAGAACTTTCTTAAATGGCATCGGGTGGGGGTGATCCCTGGGGACTAACCCTGTATTTCATTTGATTTGCTTTATCATGACAAACCAGAATTTATATGGTTTAGGGGTGGGGATCTCAACCATTTACAAGATATTAGAACTTTCTCAAACGACAGGGGGTCGGGATGACCCCCTGGGGTCTAACCCTGTATATCATTCAAACCATCTTAGCATGACAAACCAGAATATATATGATTTAGGGGTGGGGATCTCGACCATTTACAAGATATTAGAACTTTCTCAAATGGCAGGGGGTCAGGATGACCCCTGGGGACTAACCCTGTATATCATTCAAACCATCTTAGCATGACAAACCATAATATATATGGTTTAGGGGTGGGGATCTTGACCACTTACAAGGTATTAGAACTTTCTTAAATGGCAGGGGGTGGGGATGACCCCTGGGGACTAACCCTGTATTTCATTTAATGGGTTTTGTCATTTAGAACATTTTCAATTAAAAAGATTGTGTCTATCACAAACGGTTTTCAATTTATAATCATTTGAAAATTTTAAAAAATAAAATCCCATAGGGTTCTATAGTAAAACCCTCTTTTCTTTTTGCCCCTCAAAGTACCCCTTTATAAACCCCATTGCACAAACAAAACCCTGATTGCACCACTAGACATGTTAGTCTAACATATTGTGAAACCCTAAGTTAATCTGACAAGCGGTTTTGGAGAACGGGTGCGGACAAGTTCAAATTTAAAAGCGGCGGAAGAGGAAGAGGAAGAGGAAGAAGAAGAATAATAATAATAAGAACTGAGCAAAAACAATAAGTCTTCCCAAACTTCGTTTGGGAGACTTAATAATACCTTGTGAACAGGTTTGACCCAAGATATAAAGAAATTCAAGCTCTCCAAAACTAAACTATTTTACAGTACATGGTTTCATACTTGGTATAGAATAAACTAAAACAGAAATTACAAATTTTTAGTCCTTATCAAATTCTGTGATTTTTATGATCCATGAAACTATGAAGACTGATATCTAACAAATATAACAACTTTACAGCATCTCCCATAGACCATTAACTACTGGTGACAATACCTGTACAAACTTGATCAATTAAATCTTCTATGACACCATTTACTACAACTTCTGTTGTCTCCTCTCCATCTATTGCTTCATCTGTCAAATAAACAAATTCTATTTAATCTGTATTCAGCATTAAATAAAGTGGTTTTTTTTCCATTTTATATCACCGGATGGGATTGTCTCCCTTCAACTTGTTTATATCGACTAAGATTGTGTAACTGAAATTAAGAATCTCTTGTGGCGAGTTATTCTTAAAATAAATGGGGAATGTGTCCATGGGACACAGATGATGCCCCCGCTTGCATATAACATATAAAGGGACATAACTCAAGGAGTGTAAAAGTGACGCTTCCCAAATTTCTACTTGATCTGAGCTTTGTGGTAATAAGTATTGTGTATAAGTTTCATAACATTTGGTTAAGGCAAACTGAAGTTAGAGAATGGAAACGAAAAATTCAGCAATTTTTCCATTTGTAAAGGAGCATAACTCTAGAACGGTTCTAGTGACACCACCAAAATTCAAACTTGATCTGTGTTTTGTGGTAATAAGCATTGTGTATAAGTTTCATACATTTGGTTGAGGCAAACTGAAGTTAGAGAACGGAAACGAAAAATTCAGCAATTTTTCCATCTGTAAAGGGGCATAACTCTAGAACGGTAAAAGTGATGCCACCAAAATTCAAACTTGATCTGTGTTTTGTGGTAATAAGTATTGTGTATAAGTTTCATAACATTTGGTTGAGGCAAACTGAAGTTAGAGAACAGAAACGAAAAATTCGGCAATTTTTCCATTTGTAAAGGGCATAATTCTAGAACGGTAAAAGTGACGCCAGCATAATTCAAACTTGATCTGTGTTTTGTGGTAATAAGCATTGTGTATAAGTTTCATAACATTTGGTTGGGCTAAACTAAAGTTAGAACAGAAACCAATTTTGGGACGTACAGACGGACGGATGTACAGACAGACAAGGGTAAAACTTAATGCCCCCTCCGCTACGGCGGGGACATAAAAAGGTCAAAAGCTAAGAGTATTTTATCATAAAATTTGACCACTGAAAACTGAGCAATTGAAATAATTTATTATTATTGGATAAATCATCTTGTTTTACTTGAAATACATGTACATAGCATTTATGTCAATTTTCATTCTTGAGAGTTTTATGCAATCCAATATATTGTGAACAAGATTGATTGCAAAAACACCATAATTACCACAATTTTGTTAACCACCTATGGTATACACTTAAAGCAACAACTTTTTGATATACATTTTAGCGTAATTACTTCTTTCACTTTAATAGTTGTTTGATATTTTACCTGTAGTAGCATGACCATTATTCTGGTTGCTGTCTGTCTGTCCTTCAGTTTGTTCTACATCTCCATTCATTTGCTGAAATAATGGATAACAAAATAATATATATTTGTCCTTCAACTCTCAGAAAGGTAATTCCATAGTATAAAAATTGCTTGATTCATTAATGAGATCTATGTAAAATTTGAATAATGCTTACTTTGCATTTTTGCATGTATAACTGCAATAACATTTTTTCTTTACATTTTTAAGATTTAGTAATTATATAATTTCAACACTGTAAACATTATAAACTTGCTATGACTTTTCCTCTTATTTTTTTCTTCAGTCTAAAGGTTTACACTTACATTTTCTGACACTTCTTCTGACTCATCAGATTTTTTGGACAATTTGCTCGAGCTTCTGTCTCTTTGTTTCAATTCCTGTGCCTAAAGTGTTAATATAAACGATCAATTCAACATTACACCTATTCATAACTACTGTATACTGAAACATTTCTGCATCATTTTGTTGTCAGGATTTTCTTTTTATACTTTTATTCAAATAATTTTTAATTTTGTGTTTTTCAATATGCTACATTTATATATAAAATGTTTCATGAGTGTTTATTTTTGCCAATTTTAATTTTCATAGATTAGCTATCACACTAAAATAAAACTGTAACAAGCATTCTGTGGGTATTGCATGGCAATACATAGTCCCCTACCGGGTAAAAATTCATTATACTGGAACAAAATGCTTACTTGTTATATAACTTGTCATGGTGTAAACAAAAAGAAAATATCAAGTCAATATCTTCAAGCATGACTAAAAACAGTGGAAAACTGATTATATGAGTGAATTTTTCAAGTCCAAGGACCATAACTCTGCACAAAATTATCAGACCAAAACAAAAATTTGAACTTGATCTGTAACTTGTCATGATAAAACTATATACCAATTATCAATCAATATCTTCAAGCATGATGAAAAAAGTGTGGAAAACACTCTTACATTAGATGTGATTAATAGTTCTCTAAAATTAGATATGATGTAATACAATGTATATTTATTTTCAAGTTATAATCAAATATAATTAATACATGTAATAGTTCCAAATATTTTTCCTTTCATTTTTCACAAACTAATATAGATTTGTAACTTATCTATAAAATGTCAACAACTTTTATCTATACACAATGTAATGTAATGAAATATATACCTTAATAAAAATAGATTACAGTGTTCCAGCTAGGTCGTTTTCACAGGGCGGTTCGCCCGCCCTTTCCCGAGTGCCGCCCTGTGCCCTTTTTACAGTTTGCAGGGCGCCCTGCCTTTTTGAAGATCGATTGGTATATTATTTTGTTCGTATTGATATGATCAGCCAATTACGAAAATTTACCTGGCGACAAGTATATGACTTTGTTTACGACCCCAAGCTAATCAACGGTTACAACAGGTGTCATAATCTGTTGTTATAGGTAATCCGTTCATCGGATGGGTCATTTAATGATCATCAACATTAATTCATTCAAATAGAATCGGTCAGTCGGCATTTGTCTTTGAACTTGAAGAAATGTTCATACAACTTGGGCACAATTAGCAATGTTTACCGTAGTTTCATGGAGAAAACGTAATTGACAGAAAGTTTTAAACCATAATCAACTCGTTAAAAACATTGCTCTTATTGTTTTCCGTGAAATAAATAGCAAATTAAGACGTATTTTTCATTGACTGCCTTCATTTTTTATACAAAAATAACAAAATCGGCCGCCATATTGTTGATCGTATTTACATCTTCTACGTACTGTTTATTATCCTCCAAAGAAGGAGCACACCCAAATAAAGAAAGATAAGTCAATCTTATTTTTTCCTAGCATTGAGTAACCTACTAAGATATTATAAAATATGTCTTCATATTTCTGGCTTTAGAATTTATATGTTTAGGTGTTTTGAGTTGTGGGAAAAGTTAAAGAGGGTCTTAGTAGCAGGGTTGGTAGGGTGCTTTGGTCATCTTTTTCTGTATTTTTTATTTTCAATCCAAATTTTCACTGTTCACTATTTCCTAACATTGTGCATTTACAGCTGTTTTGTGCTGTATTGCCATTAAGCACAGAAAAGGTAGAAAGGTGAAGCTTGTAAAGTGTGTCAGACCATAGAAACAGAATGAAGCAGGACATTTTTAAAAAAATACTGCATATAAAGCTTAACTGTGCCAAGCAATGATTTAAAACTTGTGTCACAAGCTGCGTGATAAGTTTTAAGCCTAAAAAGTAGAAAGATAGTTTTTCTCTGGGCTAATGATGTTGTTCTTGTATCTTTATAACCAGTGATTCAATGAACAAACAATGTTTGATTATAATCTTTATTAAAACATGCCCTTTTCATATTATCATATCAAGCGTTAAATGCCCTTTTTCAGGATTGGCACCCTGCACTTTTGAAATCCTAGCTGGAACACTGGATTATTATCTAATTAAAAGATTTCACTTCATAAATTTTTTTTATGTATATAGCATTCAGAAAATTAGTTTATACAAAATAAATAACACTTCAAACAATTAACCAAAGAATGTCTTTAAAAAAATGACTTATCTCTCTTTGTAAAGAAATATTGTCTAACATACAAAATGTAGTACTGTGGATTCACTATTTTTTGTGGGATACCAATTTTCATGGGTTTCGTGGATACAGGGGAACCACGAATTCAAATGTTCAACGAATTTCAAATTTTCTATAAGCTTGTATGAAGATTTTTGCAAAACCACGAAATCAAATATCCATGAAAATGCAAGTTTTCCTCAATCCACGAAAATTGATACCCACGAAAATAAATGAATCCACAGTACTCTAACATTAGATATGGACCATGATAACTCTGGACTAAATCATCAGACCAGAACAAAATTCGAACTTGATCTATAACTTGTCATGATAAAACTACATACCAAATATGAAATCAATATCTTCAAGAACGAAGAAAAAAAGTGTGGAAAGCTTATTTGCCGGACTGACGGATGGACAGACGGACGGACAGACAGACAGACGGAGTGCAAACCTATAGTCCCCTTCGACTTTGTCGGTAGGGGACTAATAATTATCTATCCTTTTATTGTAGATTCATAAGTAACAAGAAACAATTTGACGAAAAAACTATTCAAGTTTATTGTCATTATAAGGAAACTCAGGGTATAATGAAGTTTTTTTTCTACGATTCTAACATACGCAAATTAACAGCATTGTTTCTAGTTTACTTGTCATTTTTTATTACTTACAGCCTGCTGTTCCATTCGTGAGAAAATGACATTTAACATCTGTGTGAGGGTAGCTTTAGCTGTTGTTTGGTTGACCAGGTTTTTACTGGCTAGGTAGATATTGTAACATGTCCTGACAGTCTGTAGAACTGTACCCTCATGTATTTCTACTGTATTTGATGTAACCACTGTCAATAAAGCCTGTTAAAAAAGGAAAGTATTGCAAATTGATAAGTTTTTTTTAAAGAAAGTTCAATATTAAAATCATGTACATCTGTATATCTTTTTAAGTGTCCCTTTTACTAGTACAAGTCACAGTTCAGTCAACAATAAAGTAATTTTTGTTTATCCTAATGGATTTTAGTAGCTGAGTAAACACTTACCAGATATTGTTTCCCTTGATCATGTATATACAGCAAACAAAAATGCAATGTAAGAGTATTAGAACTAAATTTTATAGTATCTAACTTTAAATGTATTTTATTAAGACAATATTTTAAAAGTTGACCAATTTTCTTGATGCTTTAAAACTTGGTCACCATCTGTCTAAATGTAAACTCATTTATGCAAACAATAAATTAAATGGTTGGAGAACTAGAAGAGGCAATTTCAAAATAATGATTAAGATCTTATTTGTCTTTAGGTCTTTTCACCTACACCTGTTTGCACACTGGCTGTCACTGTTCCACTTAGGAACTTTGTCATAACACAAACCTTTATGATCTGTAACTGTACACCTTCATCTGTCTGTGGTCCATGGAAACATCCACATATCGTCTCTACAATGCGATCTATCAACCTTTTACCTGGAGATGTAGTATCTACGGCATTTCCAGTCAGATGACCATAGGCAATCAATTTCTGTAATCATTAAATGTAACACAAGTTAATTTCAAAAGTCTGGCTCAAATGGAAACAAAGCAAAGGTGTAAAATTATGTTGTCATGAGTTGAAAAAATACCTATTGTTACAAAATATCATTCATTTTCATCTCTTCAAAATATTTAGGCAAATGAAAGGTTACTTCTTTTATTATCTGGATTTCTCAGGATTATGTCAATTTTGCATAGTAACAGCTGAAACATTAAGAGACATGTTTTCAAATGACATGAGCAATTACCAAAACCCCTATTTTACTAATGCAGTCAACATCTGAAAGGATTAAGGATATAATCAGGAGAGCTTTAATACTCACAATCCTACAAGGATTTGACAGAAAACATTAAATTCAGGGTATTTTGGTGTGTCACAGCGAAATAAAGAAAAACAAATCAAGAGAGAACAAACCTCCCTGAATGCAATTTTCTGTATGCAATTTTCATGGAAAATAAACAGTGTTTGCCAGCCATAAGAATGGTCAATAATTCTGACAAGGTATATAATGGTAGCTTACCTGTAAGCAGTCTAGTGCTACATTTACAATCCTAAAGCATTTGGATTGACATGCAAGTTCAAATGGTAAGAAATATTTATCTGCTTCAACAAAACCAGCTTGTTTAGGTGTGGGTAACGCTGATGATGATTGGTCTTCACTAAAATATGGAAAAGAATTTACATTTTTAAACTATGTTTCAAGTTTTCTGCTTGTTTTTTATGAAACAATTTTATGATAATAAACCTATTAAAGTATTATCACTAAATTCTAAAACATTGACAAAACATTGAACTATAAATGACCTTTTTTTTCATGATTTACTAACTTTCTAGATTTCTTGAGGAAAATTTGTACAAAATACAAAATATTTCTTTAGTGTGAATATATCAAAACCACATAATTATGTATTCTTACAGAAATATTATTTTGCAAACAACAAAAATTTGTATGTAATTCTTCCTTAACATATCTACATGTAGCTATCAATTTCTTGATTCATGAAATCTAATCTCTTTTTAACCCACTCCACATTGATTTTTTTAAAAACCAGTTTTCACTGTTCTATGTATGTTCCAATTGGAAAATATAATGTGTATGGTGCAGTCAAAGGGCATTTCAGTCTTTAAATGTTAAATAAAACCCTGAAGTCTTTGAGTCACAAGATATCGCCTTTAAAAATGTCAATAAAAGAAAATGAAATTACTTAAAAACTTATTTTAATGTTACCTTTGAACACTACTTTCTTTCTTTAGTTGATCTGAAATATAAATAATATAACATTACAAGTACAAAATGTATTTAAATTTTTCTGTTATGTTAATTTCAATAAAAAAATGAAGAAAAAAAAAAAGGTTAAAATTCAGAGTTCAGCTATAGATGCAAGCTTCACAGATATCTTCCATTACAGTCAGTGTTCTCCCCAGGCCCTTAAAGGACGACGGGCCCGCGATGTATAATTTTCTACCGTGGTGGTATCGTTCTTGCCGTGATGTATAATTTTTCTCCGTGGTGCTAAAATTTTCGGGAAAAAAATCGAAAATCGTTAAAGTTTTAAACGACTTGTTAAACCTTTTCCGTGGGTATAAAATTTCAGGTGAAAATTGACCAGTTCAAACCAGTTCAAACCAGTTCTTACAACTAGATTGTTTACACCACGTGATCGATTTACCTTTTGAGGTTAACCTTGATGATTGGATTTAATCGATGTACATGATTCTTTTGTGTTTTAATTAATTATGAGATCATAATTAATGATCCGACTTGTGAGGGACAACCAGGCATTTGTTAAATAACTCTATTACTCCAGCCTTTGGTCATAAATAATTTGCGTATTTTAAACGTGTTGGAGTTACTTCCCCTGATTTAGCTTATTACAAATAAGTGCTCCTAAAATATTATCTATCATTGAAAATAGAAATAAAGTACAAATTGAATGCAAAGTTATATCAGAATGTTACCTTAAGGATAAAAACTTTCTTTGAACATACCAACAAAATTATATTGCAAATAAATTTTGATAATCATACTTTCATTAATGCACAGACATATAATAATAAATAGGTAGTATTTTCCAATCTGAAACAGTTAAAGTGGTCCCAGTCTTTAGACACCGATTGGAGCTCAGCTGGATATGATACATGGGTGTACAGATAGATGATATAAATTTACTGTTTATGTCTGTCTACCAAGTAACACAATAATGATTATAATAATAATTGTATTGTTGTATAAAAGAATGATGTCTAGTAAAGCTATGGAAAATTGTTTTTAATTTACTAAAGGTTCTGCATTAAAACTTAATCTTGTTTAAATTTAATTATTATGGTGTAATCTAACAAAAATGGGGAATGTGTAGTGTAACTACAAGTATCAGGACAAATTGGCTTGATCAAAATATAAAAAGTGACTTAAGTTTAAAGACTAATAGTGCTTTCTTTTATTTATTCTTAAAAGAAATTAAAGTATACAAACTGTTTATTGATTTACTTCTTTTTTTACCAGTAATTTTTTGACCCAAAGTCTACATAACACAGTAAACAAAACAAAGACAAAAAGGTAATGACACAAAAACTAACAAGAAAAAAAAAGCGATGCAACGCGACACGACATATTGTACAAATCATTTTGACACGCGTTACCCTGGTGCTATCCAAAAATCCTGGGGAGAACACTGACAGTCAGGGGATTAATTATAGTATAAATGGGCAATTATCTACCAGTAATTAAATTCTCATTTTGAATGTAAATAAATTGCTTAAATTCCACATATACTAACTTGATGACAACAGCCATACAATTTCATTCAAATATTCTACTGAAAGTGAAACTGCTGGAAATTATGAATTTTACCAAGTTCCTACACCCGTTTTCAAGATTTTTTAAATGTTTGTTTATCTGTGCATCTGAAGAGATTATAAATTGATGGCACCAATGATAATGACAATTTTTTTTTTTTAAATGAAAGAACCTTAGTGAGCGCGCTCACATACCCCACGTCCCCACATTGTCATTGGAGAAATAAAATAAGTGTAAGAAAAAAAAATTGTATCAGAAAAAAAAATTGAATCATAATTTCCTGTCAATATGCACATCTACATAGTATGTCCTTATTATCTACACAGTTTCATGAAATTCTGTTGTGTGGTTTGAGAGGAGTTGCGATGACAAAAGGTTGCATTAGTATATTGGGCAAATAAGTTCAAAGGGGCGTAACTCCTGGAAAAAAATTGAATCGTAATTTCCTGTCGATATGCACATCTACGTAGTATGTCCTTATTATCTGAAAAGGTTTCATGAAATTCTGTTGTGTGGTTTGAGAGGAGTTGCCATGACAAAAGGTTGCAGTAGTATATTGGGCAAATAAGTTCAAAGGGGCGTAACTCCTGGAAAAAAAATTGAATCGTAATTTCCTGTCGAAATGCACATCTACGTAGTATGTCCTTATTATCTACACAGTTTCATGAAATTCTGTTGTGTGGTTTGAGAGGAGTTGCGATGACAAACTGTTGCAGTAGTACATTAAAGTAAATAAGTTCAAAAGGGCGTAACTCCTAGAAAAAGAACTGAATCGTAATTTCCTGTCGATATGCACAACTACATAGTATGTCCTTATTATCTAAAAAGGTTTCGTGAAATTCTGTTGTGTGGTTTGAGAGGAGTTGCAATGACAAGAAACAGGACTGACGGACGGACGGGTCAAAAAACTCATTGGGTGGGGTATAATAAGGCTATATATAAGGCATACCAAAAAATATGAGAAAAAAAATCATAAATTATAATTATATTATGATTTGTTAAATTTCATGTAAACCTTTTAAATGGAATGAAATACATGTACAAATCAATTTTAATTGATAAGAACAAAATCACTTTCCTTTAAAATGATTTTTTTTGTCCATTAAATCATTTGCATTGTTATGGTATAGATGATTAACAAGTTACAAAAGTATACCAACAGTTACATTATACATTAATGTTGCTAAAAAAAGTATTACAAAAAAAAAAACCATTGTTTTCAATAGTAGAAATCAAAACAATATGAAGCAAATACGGGGAACAACATGACAAACACATTGTGGCCTCACAAGTATTTCTCTTAAGTCTGCATTTACCGTTGTCAATTTGAAATATAAGAAGTCAATTTTCCTTTACATGTATGATTCTCTGTAGTGAAAGACTATGAAGATCTTGAATTTATATGTCACGGTCAGATGCATGGATCCCGAAAATTTGTTAAGTATATCCATTCTACACACTAAATCTAATTGTCCTTTCAACCAATGTTTACCTATCTTACCTGTGTGCTAACAGGAGATAAGTTTGCACAAAAGCAACCAAGAATGCCTGGAATCTGTTTGAGTGTGAAAAAAAAACATGGTCTCAGGTGAACAGATGACAGAAATTAGGCTTGTCCATTTAAAATAAATTATACTCTGATATCTACACTTTTCAATGTTTCCTGGTTCATTTGAATTTTAAAAACAGGTATTCAAGGTGTGCTTACCAGAGGTGGATTTGGGGAGGGAGGGTTGCCCCTCCCATATGGAGCTGCATACATGGTTAATGCATAGACATTTAACATGTTTAACGTCTTACGTTGCCTAGTTTGGACCCCCCTTTCATACATGTGTACCTCCTGACGAAGCACAATAATCCCCTTATCAGGGGTCTGCTCCCATCAAAGAGAAAAAATCCTGTGTATAAAAAATTTCATGAAAGAAAATTTTCAGGCACCATTTTATACTTTTTTGTTTACAAATACTTATAATTGAAGATGTAAAAACCTGAGTGTATTGAAGGTACATGTATCTGGTGTACCTGACAATAGTGACATTACCTGATTACGCAACAGGTGCAGATTTGAGGCCTTCAGCTGATTAACAGGTGATAATAGTTTGATTGAACAATCACAGGTGATAGGATATTAATTACTTGACATTTTCGTATCAAAAGTGAGGGCAGGCAAAGACAAATTACGTCTGAGTTTACCATTTTTTATGGAAAACAAGTAAAACAATGTTTGAATCAAGTTTATTATGGTTTTCGTCTTTCTGTCAATTACGTTTTCTTCATGAAACTTAACGGTAAACGTTGCAAATTGAGTTGCCGTATGAAAATTATTTCAAATGAAATGACAAATGCCGACTGACCGATTCTATTTGAATTAATTAATGTTGATGATCATTAATCATGTTAATGATCCATCCGATAAACGGATTACCTGTGACAACAGATTATGACACCTGTTGTAACCTTTGATTAGCTTCGGGTCGTAAACAAAGTCATAAACTTGTCGCCAGGTAAAATTTCGTATAATATATTTTTTTTACTTTTACCAATTTAAATGAAGATTGATAATATTACCATTACAGTCAAGAAATGAAAATTTTGACATAAGAAAATGTTGGCGCCAGAAATATCGCAAGCAGCTGTATTTTGACGCCAGATGAAATAAAAAAATAGCAATTTGCAACATTGGCGAAGCCCAGCGCGATCCCTGAGTTTGACATTATACCTTAAAATCAAAATGATCACAACTCCTACAAGAATGTCAAACATTTTTATAAGAGTCTTTAGGAATCAAAGGTGGTTTAAAACACAATCTTACTAATACATGAAAGAAGGGTTTATTTGAATCGATATACATTGACTTAGTACAATGGCCCTGAAAAACCCAAACAACATGGAAGCGATTTTGTTCATGTTTTCGTATACTTTTCTTAAAATATCATAAATGGTTTTCATGCAAATTTACATCTGGTTACATAAAAAAGGAGCATACTGTTTTTACAAATTTGTATATCTGATTGATTAAAAGTTTGACAAGTGAAACTACATGCACAATCTACTAAAAACCATTTGGGATCATATAGTACAGGCCTTGTATTCAAATAAGTTGTACGATGCAGTCCAGTGTATCCGCGCACCTAAGACTTTGGGCTTCACTTTGGTAATCTCATAAAACCTATAATCGGATAATATTGTGTGAACAAATTCACGACATACTTTAATTTCAGGAAATAATCTTTATGCATGGTTTCACCCTTAAGATTTTATGTAATGTCTGTCCAAAGTTAGGGAAACCCCTGTTTTGACAGCTCTTCAAATGTCTGGTGATTTTGTGCATGCCTTAAAAAAATAGCTAATTTAGAATAAGGCAAAGAGTTCATACCACAAAATATAATTCAGTTTGAACCAAACAGACTGCCAAGGATGCAGAGCAAAATTTATTTCATTTTGATAAAAATTTGACTTAAAATGAGTACAATTTCATCTGATGATGTAATTTTTTTTTAGGAAAATGGCTAAATATGGTTAATCATTTGATTGCAAATATAAATTTATGTTTGAACTTATCAATATATATTGATATATGAAATATGTAATATGAACATTTATCTAGACAGGATAACCAGTATATGAAACAGAACAGTTGCTTGGAAACATGGGAGGATTTCCCATACTTTCATACTATTTCCACCTCTATCCAAAAAATCTGCCCCCTATTCAATATGGCTGCAATAACAGTGAAATGGTCTAATAAGAACGATTCTATTTGTGTTGCATTGCTGATATGACAAAATAAGGTAATGCGCGATATCACCGGCCACACGGAGACAGGGGATTCTACTGTACTTAATGGACAATTCTGTAGGCAAATTTGTCAGAAACCTTTAGAAATACTGAGCTCTTAACAAAATTTGTCAGTAATCATGGTAATGTCAAACGAAAATTCACATCAGACAAACTTCAAAACCAAAACCTCTGCTATACATAAAATTACAGAGAATTCTCACAGGTCTTACATTTAAGCATCTTAGAAATTTTATCTACACATTTACAGTCCCAAAAAAGAATGCATGATGTGATTCACTTACCAAGTGCCACCTCACAGGCTTTTTTCAGTTGGGAGTGATGAGCTTTTTTTATTTCTTTGTCGCTCAAGATTTTCTCGAGAGCTCTTGTAAGGAACATTTCGTTTGGCCTGTTGCCTTTACGCATTATGCCAATCAATCGACATATCAAATAGAAATGTTAAGTTATTTTAGTTGATGAACAAATGTTTCGTTGGAATACGGAACACCTGTAACAGTTGTCCACCATTCAAATCACGTGACCAAATGCCGACGATATATTCTGGTACCCTTTTCAGTACAAAAATAGATAAAGTCATTTGAAGAATGTGTCATAAGAGAACTATAAAAGGAACATCTAAAATATTAAAATATTCATAAATGACAACACACAACAACTGATGTAAAATTTTAAAAATGAAAAACCCACAACGTTTAAAAATACTTGGCCAAACTGTACGAGAGAAAATTTATAAAGATTCTACCGATGCATTAATAGTCAATAAAAACTGACAAAATCAAACGTTAGACTTTATCAACCAACAGAAAGAGTAAACAAACAATCTCCATATTCTTGATTTAGTTCAGGCGTTTTCCGAAGAAATTGTTGTGTTTGAACCTGTTTTATAGCTAGCTAAACTTCTCACTTGTATGATAGTAACTGTTGTTTATATGCATTGAAAAAATGGATGAACAACCCAAACAGACATGTCGAAATGAAGGAGATTCTGTTGTAAAATCTGTTTCTCTAACGTTTTTATGATGATGTGTGAGCAACATTTATTTTTATTTTTCAAAGATCTTCAAAAAGATGTGCTATTTCTATGTGACGTCATCAGGCATGGTCACCTTTTCCCTGACGCCATAAAAGCAAATAAAAAAAACCAAGAAAATTTAAAGTCATAATTAAAAATTTGACCAATAAGAACTGAAATCTAACGAACTTACACACGTTGATTATGAAAAAATAATAATCCGTTCGGGGAAAGTATAAATCGGCCTAGGATTAAAGAAATTTGCCCAAAATGAGAACCGAAAGAGGGGGGTGGGAATAAATGCAAACAAGAAATCAAAATTATCAATTGTCTTAAGTAAATATACAGATTTTTTTCTAAGGATGGTACTAAAGGTGGAGGCATTAAAAACACTCAAATCGAAAACAATTAAACAGATAACACCAAAGCCAAAACAAAAACAATAGAAAGGCTAACAACAGTCCACAAAATTCCTATCAGAAAAATATAGACTGTAATTAATTCTTTGAATAATGTTTTTATTGGTATGAATATTGATTTTGTTATCAGTAAATTAAAACCAAACTTATATTATTGTTATATACATATACATATGCACATTCACGGTTCTACAATCTGTCAATACCTTTAACTTGGCATTGCACAAGGTCATGTTTATCTCTGGCTGTTCATGATGTCTATATATATACTAAATCCATTGGATGTTGGAAGTGCACAGGTTGATATTTTAGTCTTAGATACATGATATTTTTATTAGTTGTTATTAGCATTGAACTTATACTCTCAGATCTGTACTTAGTGTCTTTTTTGTTGTTGGGATGTATAAATACCCTGCCACACCTTGTCTGTGTTTTTGTTTAAGAGAGGCGAAATATACCAAAGGGGCACTCAAATTCATAAGTCGAAAATAAACTGACAAAGCCATGACTAAAAAAGAAAAAAGACATACAGACAAACAACAGTACACAAAACACAACATAGAAAACTAAAGTCTGAGCAACACGAACCCCACCAAAAAATGGGGGTGATCTCAGGTGCCTTTGAAGATTTAGCAGATCCTGCTCCACATGTGGCAACCGTCGTGTTGCTAATGTAAGTACAGACCCGGTGATAAGTCTAATTTGGTACGTCACATCCAGGGAAAAGGGGACGGCATTGTAGTGAAGACAATTGGAACATATTGTTACTTGTTTTTCTGCTTTGTATCAATCTGATGAGTTAAGTCCTTTTCAACTATTTTTTATAGTTTGTTCATATGTTGTGCAGTTACACCACTGTCCCAGGTTAGGCTTAGATTGGGCGCCTTCGAACATGTTTAACCCCGCTATATTCTGTATGTGCCTGTCCCAAGTCAAGAGCTTGTAATTCAGTGGTTGTCGTTTGTTGCTGTATATCATATTTGTTTTTCGTTCGTTGTTTTGTACATAGATCATGCCGTTTGTTTTCTCGTTGGAATTGTTTTACATTTTTTTTTTTTTTATTTTGGGGCCTTTATAGCTGATGTATATTGTATTTATATTGTGTCATAGATCAAACTTATTCGTTCAGTGTATGTTTACTTGTTTTTCTTTATATATCTTTTTGATCGAGTTAAGCCATTTCAATTTATATTTTATAGTGTGTCTTTTTATGTTGTAATGTTAAACTACTGTTTCAGGTTAGGGTGAAGGTTGGCGCCTGTAAAAACGATTAAACCCGCTGCATTTGTATGCACCTGTCCTAAGTCAGGAGCCAGTTGTTCAGTGGTTGTCGTTTGTTGATGTGGTTCATAAGTGTTTCTCGTTTTTTATATAGATTAAACCGTTGGTTTTCTTGTTTGAATTGTTTTACACTAGTCATTTTTGGGGCCCTTTATAGCTTGCTGTTCGGTGTTAGCCAAGGTTCCGTGTTGAAGGCCGTACTTTGACCTATAATTGTTTACTTTTTACACATTGTGACTTGGATGGAGAGTTGTCTCATTGGAACTCATACCACATCTTCTTATTTATATATAAAATAGATTTCAGTAATATCGTGGGCCTAATCCGAGATTGTTCTGACTTCTATTGAGGACTTGTTGGTGCCGAGTAATCTCAAAGTATTGATGATCCTACTAGAAATTTGGTACAATTCAGGACCCGAGTAATCTCGAAGTATTGATGATCCTACTAGAAATTTAGTACAATTCAGGACCCTTTAGATATTTCTATTGTAGATATTTAGAATATGATTTTAACTATATTTAAAAAAGCATAAATCAGAATATTCAAATTTATACAAGTAGGATTCTGGATCCTTCTTAACTCAAATTTGTACCACAACATATATATTTTAAGAATATAATTACATAATATTATAACATTACATGATAAACATTGTTTAGGTTTGAAATCAATAAACATGATGAGTACCAGATGTTACTTTGTGTAAATAATAATTTGTACACACTTAGTATTTTTCGAAGCTCTCAACAAAATTCGATAAAAAGCACACCATCTTTGATTTAGCTTATCACTGTCGTATTTGCATGACTACATGCTATTGTCCTAGTCAAAATCTGAGACGTCTAGAGAGAAACGTTCCGACGGCAAACATAGACAGGTGTCTTTATTTAATATATAAAAATGTCTTATTCAAACATCTGAGACATCCAGAGAGAAACATACAGACGGCAAAAATAGACAGATGTCTTTATTTAGTCATACTCTAAATCGTTCCGAGTCTATAAAAAAGTTGCGAATTAATTCAACACAATCAATCAAAGATATGCGAACCCTTCTCCACTGGCATACCGAAAACTGTGACGTTAAGATATAACATACAATAACTACTGAAAGGCTATCTTTGGACAGGCACATGGAAATGTGGCGGGTTAAACTAGTTATTAAACATTACAACCCTCGTATTTTTAATACTGATCAGTAGATTAACAAAATGTACACAAAAGAATACACAATTAAAAATCAGTACAGGGAATACAACTTAATTCAAAATAACGATATAATAGGTAAAAAAACACAAAATAAACAACAAATTATACCCTTAGCCTATTTAAGAATGTTCGCGCTGAAAGTTCTTGCGTTTCGCAGACTGGTTATGGCGTCTTATACTTAATCCGTTGGACGTGTACTGATTTATTCTTTCTTTCAAAAGAATTTAAAAAGATTTATGAATTTCAAACTTGATTGAAGTCTACACGTCTTTTCAAAACAGTGAAGGTCATTGATTTCATGTGACAAAAAGTTCACATATTGAACAGGAAGAGGACCTTCCTAATTTTCCAAATTAAGGGTCAGAATGGTGATGTGTCTTGTTCAATTGGCGTACCATTTTCTCTGCTTGCTACACGAAAGCAAAATACATAATTTATGTCCCGATTAAATGTAAATTCTATCATTTAATGACTTGATTCAAAAGTGAGGGTAACTGGTCATCATACGTATAGAATTTCCCGGAAAAATCGGCATAGTAATAACCTTTTTTTCTTGTTGTTATAAGAAGAATTAAATTCGGAGTCTATAGTGTTTAACCTAACTTTGGCTACCGTTTGCATGTTAAAAGAATATTTCTCCAGAGAGCTTATATAAAAATAACTTTTGAGAAAAAAACTGCGAAATTCGGACGGTAACTAGTTCTCGACTAGTACATCTAATATGATGTGTTTGGCTGAACCTCACGTAGGTATCAATAAATGAACTGGCAACTTTGTCCAGCGTGACACGTAATTTCGTTAATTTTCGTTGTGGTGAGCTGTTGTTTATAATAACGTGCAGTATTTAACTATCTCTAAAATGATACCATCAGAGAACAATCTCATTAGATATTAAAATTAAAATACCGTATAACCTACGGAAATCAGAAATATTTTTTTGAACCAGTATGTTATGACTTTTGTATGGTTCCTTGTTTCTGAATTGACATTTTGAGAATCAAGAATCACAGAAAATTAATCATGGATGCGAAAAATGCATTGAAGACTTGGGAAATGTCAAACAGCGTTGAAAACGTTAATAGTATGGACGAAATATACAGATACGACAAGAGACAACAACAAGATATCCTTACAGCAAAGCCATGGGATAAAGAGTAATTTCAAAAAGGACAATATAATGCGTCCACTATACATATAATGTGTTTGTAATATAATGTAAATACACAGACACTTGTCTCTGAAAATTTTTTTTTCTATACCTGAATATATAACACAAGGTACCCAACTCGCATATTTGTAAGGGAATGGTCATTATTTATCAGCTGAGGGGGTCGGTTCAAATTTTTCACATTAAAAGGTTTTGTTGGCAACCCCCCCACGATTCTTATGAACCACATAATGACCCCCCCTGAGAACATAGTTTCAAAATTTTGACCAGCCCCCCCCCCCCCCCCCCCCCCCCCACCACCACCACCACCACCACCACCACCACCACCAAACAAAAAATTTATATCGATTAACAGTTGAGAGAAGATGATGACTGCAAGCTACAATGTAAGAAGTTGCACGCATTGACTTGAAAAATAGCTATGAGAAGTATGTGGACATTGACACTATCCGTAACAGAATACGCCATAAAGGGGTTTTCCTTGATTGCAATACTCATTTTCTTTGATTTTGAACTGATATTTCATAATACATTCTACACTATAGTTCTGTTATTCTATATAACATGTATAAGTAGCTTGAACTAATTAATTTGATAAAGATAATTTACTTTGTCTGGTTAGCAGTCATTAGTAAGTGACATTCTGTAAATATTATATTGCCTTGATGTTTCATCATGACCTTCCATATTCTTTATTTTGAAGCTGATGCAACTGATTTTAGAAAACATTTTTCAGTTGTATTAATATTCTTCTGTAAGAAAACCCTGAGTATACAATAGAGTTTTTCTTCTTGTTTTTTCTTTCTTTCGAATATGAATAGCTGACACATGCCAGAAAAAAAAATGGACAAAATAAGCATTTAAATGAAAACAAATATATATTGCTTTTTTACTTGAACCTTTATGAACAGAATGAAGTCATACCTTAATACAGATTGTCCCTGATTTTGAAACTGCTAATTCTTAAAAAGTTAAGCTTTTAAAGGCACAATTAGCCAAATTTGTTTATATACATGAGCATGTGCTATTATAAATGAATGGAATGACGTAAAAAAAAAAAACCCAGAAAATTCTTTGTTCCAATTTATTTGAATGCAACCTATAATTTTTCAATATTATATATAACCTTTCAATAATGAATTTCCCTCTGTTATGAATAAATGTAAATTTACTGTCTGACACAGAATTATTTGTGAATGAAAAAACATTAAAAAAAAAAGAGAAAACATGGCTCAATTCTTTTAATGTCTTTATTAAAATTTTGAAGTTTTGTAAATGTTTTTTGGATTTTAATTTTCTCATCATATAGTTATTTTTTTATTTCAATCCCACTCTTGGAAGTGCAACTGAAAATAACACATGACAAATATAACTGATTTTATGGTTCTAGTCCTTCCTGGATCAAATATGTACAAAAATGTACATGATTTATTTGAGATAAAGAAATATATATGTAGGTTAATAATCATATGAACATTCAATATTCTATTTCAATGTGAAAAATGTTTTACGAAACCCCAGTGTCTTGTTTTGTGTGTGTGAATGCCATGCTGCCCAACAAGGGCCCTCGATTTGAACATTAAAAATTCTTTTTATTATTCGATATCTTTGAAATAATTTCATAAAATAATTATACATATTTACAAATGATTTTAGAACGTACACACCTTTTACAGTCCTATATCTATCATAAGAAATCGCATCAAAATGATTTGAACACTTCAGAAAGTTGAAATACACATGTTCAGAAACTTTTAAAACTCATTGTTTCCTGTGGTCATAACTAGAGACAAATGTTTTATACAGTTGTTAATCTTGAGATAAGTCGGATTGTAAACTTTCACATCCTACTTGTCCTATGGATAATCATGGAACTATTATATTGAATATAATAGTTCCATGGGACAATGAACCATAACAGATGACTGTGATAAGGAGTGATCAGATTCACTACCCTTGAGAAATTAGGCATCCTTCAAGTGCTCACTGTACATGACCAAAGATTTAATAATGACAGAAATTATTTAAAAGATTGCACACTCACTTCAATATCGTCAACAATTTATATGCTTGTCAGACATAAAAACTTTCATTGTGTGACCCCCCCAGTCAAATAAAATTTTTGATGGCAACCCCCCCAGCTGTATGATATTTTTGGTAGTGACCCCCCCTAAAATGAACCGACCCCCTCAGCTGATAAATAATGACTGTTCCCTAAGATGAAACTCTGTATCGAACTTTTGTTATATTGTAAGAATGCATTGTGACCTCACAATTTCCATTGAAAAAGCATGCATACATTTGTAGTACGAATTCATATGACCTACGAAAACATATGATCTGAACATATATGAAATATATCTATCGCTGGGAATAACTTCAATAAGTCATATATCAGTACCTATAGCGAAAGTTGAATCCGCGCATCTAGTCAAATCAGCTCCTAATTAAAGTCATTTCAGCACCAAATATTATTTCTCCCTTTTTCATTCCTTTTTATTTGAGGTATGGGGACAAAAGTATTTCTTTATTTTTTAGATAAAAAAATCTATATCTATATCTACATATAGATGTTTGCAAAACAAACAATTTAAAAGAAAATTAAAAAGATACATTTCGTACATCGTTAAAAAATCAGCACATGCAATTAAGCAGACAGCATACACAATAAAAATTTATCAGTTGGTTTGCTGTTTGAAGTTTTCTCAATATTTTATAAATTAATGTTTTGATTGGTTATCCTTTTGAAAAACTTATGAACTTATATTAGTTAAAACATTAACCAATTTGTTGTTTTAACCATTTTCACGTAGTTTTTTTGGTTTTATAATTAAAAAAACTTAAATTAAGCAAAGAAGCCATTATCCAATCTGTTGTTTAATCCACAGATGAGTATAAATCAAAAAATAAAACACAAATTTAATCAATGATTTTTCTGCATTTCCTGTCTACTTGTATGAATTGAATAATGCTGGCACCATTTTTGTGAGTTTACTAGCAATGTGCAGTTGTCATGAAATAGAAGTTCCTTTGTAATATAAGTTCCAATAGAACAGATATCATGGCATTTTTATTACAGAGTTTCCATTGGAACTTCTGTTATGCATGACTAATAATATGTTGCCACCTCGAGTGAAAATATTAAAAAAAATATGTGAAAAAACAGAGTTTACTTTCAAAACATAATGTGAAGATGAAGGTTTTCTAGAAAGAGCCTACCTGATGAAGGTGATTTTAGTAAGAGCCTATCCGATGAAGGTTTTCTAGAAAGAGCCTACCAGATGAAGGTGATTTTAGTAAGAGCCTATCCGATGAAGGTTTTCTAGAAAGAGCCTACCTGATGAAGGTGATTTTAGTAAAAGCCTATCCGATGAAGGTTTTCTAGAAAGAGCCTACCTGATGAAGGTGATTTTAGTAAGAGCCTATCCGATGAAGGTTTTCTAGAAAGAGCCTACCTGATGAAGGTGATTTTAGTAAAAGCCTATCCGATGAAGGTTTTCTAGAAAGAGCCTACCAGATGAAGGTGATTTTAGTAAGAGTCTATCCGTTGATGGTTTTCTAGAAAGAGCCTACCTGATGAAGGTGATTTTAGTAAAAGCCATTCCGTTGCCAAAATTACTACTTTGGGTGCCAAATTAACCAGGTCCCGATTTGACTAGGTGCCGAATTGACTATACCGGGTGCCGATTTGACCAGGTGCTGAAGTGACAAGAATTCATATTCCATAGCTGCAGAACTGTACGTACATGTAGCTATTAGGTCCACATGATATTTTTTGACAATTTGCTGACCTAAAAGCTAATTAAGGTTCCGCAGCTATACATGTATATCCCACTGAAAATTGGTTGCAAACTTTCGTTATATATCCCACTGAAACTTGTTATGTTGTACATCTACATGTACCTTAAATTGTCTACAAAAGGATGTATGACACACCTATTTCTGCTGTGAGGTTTATTCCTAGAAGGCCTTCAAAGAAGGTCGACTGAAAATTATTTTGTTTTCTGACAGTGAAATGACAAGAGAACTTTATAGATTGTTTTGAGGAGAAATCCATGCATGTTTTGCAGCTAATCTACTGTTTTGAACCCAAACTACATAGATGAAGATATGTCTTCTTTACTTACCTTTGGAGTAGTAAAGCCTTAGGAAATAGGAAACATTAATGGGGAGGCCATAAACATTGATCATGTTTCTGTGCTTGCACCATTAATTGATAAGGCAAGAATAAAATATGATTATGACCAATTTAAGATCATACTAAAATCAATCTGTTGTTAACTCTTGAATATGTCTGAAGTTAATTTGTAAAAGACTATTCTGATTTATTTCCAGATTTGTAACACTGGCTTGAATGGGCATTAGCTACAAGATATAAAAAAATTGAAATATGACTTTTTTTTGGTTCAAGAATTAATGAAAGTGAAATAGTGAATAATTCGACCTCATTGAATCCATATTCATGTGACTTTCAATTTAACCCCTTACCTAGAGATTGGTTATGCATGTATTAGGCGTGTTCAGCCATTTTAAAAAAGGAAAAGAATGTCAACATTGAAAATGAATCAAAGGTGAACCATTTCGTTAACTGATTCGATCCACAAAAATCATTCTTATAAGGTAAAAATTATGATTAACTTGTTTTTTTTAATCTATAACATGAAATCAATCAGACCTAGAAAAGTCCCATTGCACGTGGTCGCTATCTATTTATATTTATATTTAAATTTAAACATAAATGTAAATAGATAGCGACCACAGGAGGCACAGGGTTAGAGTCTATTCAGTCAGAACCCTCTTCCATGATACCAATCAGCATGTAAACAGTTTCATGCTTTAAGTTGCAACTGTTCTTGTGCTTCAGTCTGTTTAGTTAAGAAAATCACCTTTTCACATGCAACAGAGGTAACTGGTGACGTTAACATTATTTAATGGGGCATAAGTTGTCAAATTCATGTTCACAGATTTGTCTCAAATTCTCATATTTGATTTATACTATATATCCAAATTACGATAAGTCTGAGATAAACAATTAACAATGCATAGACTTGATAATATATATCAGCATTTCATGTGTATTTTAGTCTAGATGCCCTCTAACTAACCATCTAGATGACCTCCGAAGACTGCCGACTGTCACATCTCATTTCCATAGAGATTATTTGGCCATGCCCCCTCAGTCATGGTCTATTGAACTTGAAACTTTTGCTTGCTTTACATCTATTAGTTTGCGATAAGGTCAGTTTAAGAAGAAGCACTAGTGGTAGGTCAATGATATTTGGTATGTATTAGCATTGGCACATCTGATTTCCCTAAAAAATTCTTGGCTCCACCCCCTCAGTCATGGTTTGTTGACTTTGAATGTTTTCATAGTTTACAAGTTAAGTTTGTGATTAGATCAGTTATGAGGAACTGCTAATGTTAAGTCAATGATATTTGGTATGTAGTTGTATTAGCATTTACAAGTCTCTTTTCCATGGTGATTATATGGCCCCATCCCCTCAGCATGGTACAATGACTTTGAAAATTTTACATGGTTTACAAATTAAATTTGTGTGTAGGTTATTTTAAAAGGAACCAGTTATTATCAGTGAGTGGTATTTGATATACAGTTTTATAAGCATGGGCATTTCTCATTTCCATTGGGTTATTTGGTCCTGCACCAAAAATCATGGTTCATTGACTTTGAATGTTATACATAGTTTACATGTTTAAATACTGACATTTGAATTCTATATTTGCATTATACTATTAAAATTACAAAAAGGTGAGACATATCTCTGTGTCAACAGTTTATATATTATTGTTATCAGTCTGATGTGGTGCCTTGGTACATATCTCAGTTATCTAAAATCAATCACCATGATTGTTTATGAATACTATTCTCTAAAAAAAAAAGAACAAGGCAGTGATTGAGTCACCTTACAGTCTTCAACTAAGGTAAAATACAAAACAGTACAACAAACAACATACAGAAAAAAACACTTTTATTGACCCCCAAATTCAGGAAAAGACTCATAATTGTTTTAGATAGGAGTCCCTGGACTCATTGTTTTTGTGAGAGAGTGAGAATCCTGCAGTTTATATAAGATTAATCCAACAGATAAAAAGTTACCAGGTTAATCCTCCAGTTTGCAAACATAAAGTCTACATTAAAAAAAAGTCTAGCAAAATACTGTTTAGCTTATCATGCTCATTTAAAACAACTTCTCGTGCTTAAATCATTTGGACTGAAAGCTAAATATAGTTGTCTCATTGGCAATAATACTGCATCTCATTTTTAGAATGTACATATTTAGATGGTTCTACACCAGTCCTTAACATGTTTAATGTTTATTTAGAAACATGAAATAACCTTATAATTGTCTACCTATATACATGTTATAATTGTCTACCTATCTGTTTTATTTTTAGTCCACACTACTTCAAACACATCAAAGTTTCAGCTTTAGCTTTACTTAAAATGGTGATGCATGCCAGGTCAGGCGGTAATCTTGAAATCATGGGCCTCCTTCTGGGGAAAGTAGATGGCAGCACAATGATTGTAATGGACAGTTTTGCACTGCCTGTAGAAGGGACAGAAACCAGGGTGAATGCCCAGTCACAAGCCTATGAATATATGGCTGCTTATACAGAATCTGCTAAACAGGTAACACTTATTAAGGATCTTCTCTATATCTGTATCACCAGCCTCAGCTATTCATAAGATCATTAGATTATAAAAATAAACCCAAATTAAACCGTATTGTTTTAGGAATTTCAGCTACAGAAATTCAATCTGATGAATGAGTTATTAGATGTTCCTGATATTGATATATATATATATATATCTTTTACATTGATATCCACTTCCATTTCATGTTGCTCTATAGTGTTATTGTTTATCTTGTGATAAGGTTTTCAGATTTTTTAACTTTTAATTAATGGGTCCAATTAAAATAAGAAAATGTAAAATTAACATTTTTGACCTTGTTTCTCTTTTCAGTTTTGCAGGTAAAAACCATAGTCATTTATTGATACTTAAGAGATGTCACGATGTCACAATGTTATGTGGTCTGCCTTTTATGTCTCTTTAATTTGTATTAGGTAATCCATTGTTCAGAGGTGCACTCGATTATGCTATAATCATGATAATGTTATATTATTTAGTATTACATTCTAGAAAGATGTTCTTTCTAATTTATTGTCATATAAAAGAATATTCATTATTATTATTATTATTATTATTATACTATTTTTTCTGGGAAATACTGAAATTGTTGTATCTTTAAAAAGAACAAAGTGGACTCCTGCTTCCCGGGCAGTTGGTTTAATTGTAAACAAGAATCCTAAGTCTTCATCCTGGGCAACTGAGGAAATTGTAAACAGGAATTTTTTTTTAATAAACAAGTATCTATTTAAAAAAAAAGAAGAAGAGATATGCAGATGTTTTTACTCCCAGACATCATTTTTTAATATTTCAATGTGTGAATTTTCAATTCTATAAATGGTGTTCGTCAAAATATTTTATAATATCCTTACATATATATATATTTGATTGTATACATAACAGGTTGGGAGATTAGAGAATGCTATAGGTTGGTACCATAGCCATCCAGGATACGGTTGTTGGTTGTCTGGTATAGACGTCAGTACACAGATGTTGAACCAGCAGTTCCAGGAACCATTTGTTGCTATTGTGGTAACATTATTATTATACATTACCTTAATTTGAGTGAAAGATAGACATATTGTTTGTGTGCAAACTGGATATTACCATATATTGTCAGTATTAATGATTTATATTTGTTAGTATAAGTTATATCATATAAAACATATAGTTTTCCTAATGTTTTGGTTGTTATTTCCAAAAATCAGATTTTCATCTTACCAGCATGAAAAAATATTAACACATAGCTAGATTAATAGGGATTTTGGTCTTTTGAAGATTTAAACACATAAAAGAAAGGATATACGGTATATTACACACAAACAGACACTAATACACACACTCCAAATTTCAAACTATCTAACCACTTTATGGTTTTGTGGGAAAGACAACCTATTATAATTACAAGGAGATCAAATTCATTCAAGATAACAAATGTGATTCTCGTACACCTCTTTATTTATTTAAACAGATAGATCCAGTTAGAACTATTTCAGCAGGAAAAGTCAACATTGGTGCATTCAGGACATACCCAAAGGTAATACTTAGTTCTTTTGTAAAAAATATGCTTTTACCATTATAAAGAATAAATACATATTCAGTATAATAATCACATTCTTTAAAAGACCATGAATGTGTTAAATATACTTTAGACAATATCAAATGATATGTAAGGAAAATCACAGAGAAGATTTTCATTTAACATGCAAATGTACTAAAACAAAAAGAAATACTTTAAAACTTAAAATGAATTTTTTACTTTGAGTGGTTTTTGGTAGAATGATTTTTTTGCGAAAATGCCTGTTTGACCTTGGCTAGAGGTTACTCTTAAGATCCTCAGTGTTGTGTCTGACACAGGTATCCCACTGAATTTTTACAAAGGTTTAACTTCTTGCTTCACAGTAATTGAACATACTGCACAATTGTTCATCTTACTATGCTTGATGATGTTTAAGTGACATGTGCAACCTAGGATCAAAGGTCAGTAACATTAATGCAAAGTTATTGAAAAAAAGTTTTTACAAAAATGCAAAGCTCTTTTGTATCAAGGATTAATGAAAAGAAAATTTAAACAGATATAAAAGATTTTAAATTAACTTTTGTTTTTTTGTATGCCTGAAGAGGCAAGGTGGTTGTTTGTGAATTTTATATTGTCTATATTTAACAAACCAAAATGTTTTAAACTTTTTTATTTGAGCCGCTTCAACAAAGTTTTCTGTTATCTATTGATTTGTCTTTTCTCAGGGTTATAAGCCACCAGATGAAGGTCCATCTGAATACCAGTCTATACCTCTCAGTAAAATAGAAGATTTTGGTGTACACTGTAAACAGTAAGTCATTACTATGTATAGATCCTTGAAAAGTTTTTTTGTATCCGCTCAAAAGAAGGGGTATATTGGTTTACCTCTGTTTATCCTTCTGTTTGTAATACATTTCTGTCACATTTTTCTCAGCAAACATATGCCATAGGTTCTTGATATATGACACCAAGGTCAATCTGGTTATGCCATGTCATGTGACACGTTTTCAGTTACTTCAATGTACCACTTCCTCTGTGCTTGAAACTTATATCTTTAAAATGTCATGCACATATATCAGTGTATATGAAGTTTATTTCACATTTTCCTCAACAACTACATGTTATACCATCTTGATGTATGTAGGGGTATAATTAGTTAGCATTATCTCATAGTAAATATTTTTTTTCATTAAAAAAAAAATCTGTAGTAACAAAAAATAGAAGAAAAAATGAAATTAAAGCTATGTTTTGTATTTCTTATGAAAAGTTTTCTCTAATGAAACTTTACAAAAAAAGTGTCAAACTTATTACTGTAAATTGGGTTATTTTGGTTGTAGTTTTATTTTGGTTTATTTGGTTCCTCCAATGAAAGTGCCAAAATTAAACACACGAAAATAAAGCAAACACTAAAAATTGAAATGTCAAAATCGCATACCGGTACGACAATGTGTAATGCTAATTGTTGGGGAAAATATTTTATGTTATTATATCTTCCGTATATTTCCTACAATTCTAAACATAGCCAAATCTGCAAATAAATACCTGGTATACTTTGACAACAACACTATACAATTTTTACTTAATTGTCAATTTTCTGAAATTGTTAAGAAAACACAATATGAATTTGCATTCACACATGTCATAAATATGCCAAGCTATTGCTGATTAGACGCCGTTATTGGTAATTAGAATATCAAAACTCCTTGTAATCCTTTATCTTCAATTAATTAACATGTACTGCCAGAGGCATAAGGATTAAAATTTTAATCCTTGATTGGCAACCGATTAACATATTGTACTGCAATAGAGATGATTAAAATTTATTTCATATGATATTTGTAAAAAATAAATAATCTATTTAGAAAGTGATTTTAATGTTTAAGATTTTATTTCGTATTTTCTTTCAGCTTTGAAACTCGATATAAGGAATTATTTGCAATTGCATCCGTATCCGATTCCTTCCTTAAATTCACTTTGTCGTGTTTCTAGTGTGAGAAATTCAATGATATTTTGTCAATAAACGGGTAAATAAAGGCAAATATGAATGAGCTTGCTCACAACCGTTGTTCTAAAATTAAACATATCAGTTGGACAAAGCACCAAAATTACACACACCAAAATAAAACACATGCCTTTTGAGAGAAAAGGGCCAAAATATCCCGACGCCAAAATTTCCCAATTTACAGTATTCCAGTATCAAACGGTCTTCAACAGCAATGTTTAGAGCTGAATAACAGTTAAAATATATGATTATATGAAAATTTGTTGTAAAATCCTAAAAGGTTATTATCTAAAACTCATTAATGTTCAAATTCCAGCAAAAATTTATCTTATTCTGGCAGAAGTACAATGTACTGTGTGTGTCACAATTATATAAGAAAAGGAATTTAATAATGTAGTAAAGAGCAACCTTTGTCACAATATGTTTAAATTATCTTGATAAGTAGTTTATTTTTAATTTCAGGTATTTTTCATTAGATATTTCTTACTTCAAATCATCATTAGATAGAAAGTTATTAGAATCACTGTGGAACAAATACTGGGTTAATACCCTCAGTTCTTCAAGTCTTCTCACAGTAAGTAGGATTGAAATTTTATGGTATATAAAGTGTGTCTTTATTGTAAAGAAATCAGGCTGATTTTATTTTTCAAGCCTGTTGTTATATTCCTGCTCGAAAGGAGGGATAAACTTCTTTAGTACGTCTGTCTGTCCATTTCCAACCATCTTTCCATGTGTCCATCCATCCCATAAAATTCTGTTGCATTTTTTTTTTCAGGAATTACAAATCAGAACTTCCTGAAATTTGCTATCAGTCTTCATGTGAACAAACTATACCCTGTAATACAGTTTCAGTTTGATAATTTGTCAGTCAAAAATACATTATCATCAGTCTAATTCTCACTTGTGTCTGACATTTGGACTAACATGGTAGCAACATATGTCAGACTTTTCAAATTTTTATCTGTCTAATAATGAGGATTTACACTTTAAAAAAACTCCTGCTTTATGTAACAAATGTGCATTAAACTACAGTATATGTTTTAATCTATTTTGAATAGAATAGTGACTATACCACAGGACAGGTGTTTGACTTGGCAGATAAATTAGAGCAGTCAGAGGCACAGTTAGGGAGAGGAGGGTTCATGTTAGGGATGGAGAATCATGAAAGGAAATCTGAAGATAAACTGGCAAAGGCTACAAAGGATGGGTAAGTAATATTATAAGGCAGGCAAGTTAGGGAGAGGAGGGTTCATGTTGGGGATGGAGAACCATGAAAGGAAATCTGAAGATAAACTGGCAAAGGCTACAAAGGATGGGTAATATAAAGCATTACTTTTATGTTGACTTCTATTTATGTTTGTGCATTCACCATCCTATAAAAAAAAACTAGGGGACTTGAGGAAAGTTACCAATTGAAGTGCCATATTTGTTTTGCAGGAATATGAATAATTTATTCTGTTTAAGTGTCTTTATACAAAATATTATTTTGCCAACTTTTGTTTTTAAAGTCAAATTGGCAGAGAGAGATTAAAGCATTTAGAATAAGTTGTTATTAAATGACAAATGATAAAAAATGTCATATTTGACAATTTTGTATGTAGTCCTAACAATATGCCCCTTTTAACAATTGGGATATTCAATCCTATGCTTGAATGGTTGAGAAGTTTTTAAAGTTTTTAAATGATATAAAATGAATAAATTGTGTTATACTGCAACTTAAAAATAAATGTCAATTTGACAAATAAGAAAAGGATTTTATATTTTGTCATGGCATAAAAGGAATAACCAGAACGATAATAAAGCAGATCATTTAAAAATCTGTGGGAATGTTTATACATACTTTATTATTTGTTTATTATTTTTTAGATGCAAAACAACTATGGAATCTCTTCATGGACTTATGTCTCAAGTGATCAAAGACAGACTATTTAACCAAGTTCATTTAGTCAAATAATGCCATAGTTTTTATAATAAACATTCAAATTTGTTCATGTGTAAAAAGAAATGTTCCAACAGGCCAGAATTGTAAGAATATATTTGTACGGTAGGAAAAGACACTGGTTATCATTTCTCTTTCAAAAACAATGTCAAAAATAAGTGTCTAATTGACATATATCATCAAAATACTGTAGGTATGTCATGTGATTCTGATTATATCTTTTTATTTGTTATCATGAATATATACATAAATGATAGAAATGTGAATCATTTGTTTTTCTGCTTTATAATTGACAAAGGAGAAATTCAAAATTGGTTGTTTATTTTAAGCCCAACTGACCAATTGATTTGAGTGACTGCTTTCACTTATATAGTCTCTCAATTACTACAAATTCAAATAGTAGCCTATTTATTCTCTAAGGGAACGACCTTTTAACTTCAAAGGGGAGGTTATGGTTTTTTCCTAAAAAAATATTCTGATCCCCAATTTGATGAAAAAAATATTGTGGCTAAGCAGATGACAAAAAAAAATATTCTGAATCCAACTACATGTGATGATCAGGATAGCTAAATAGTTAAGGAGATAAGAGATGTTAAGTTTTATGTTTGGAGGATATACAAATATCTTCTCATTGTAGAATTGTTTCACAAAATGAACAAACAATAAAGCTGCTCTGTTTAAGATTAAAAGTAGCATCACATATAAACAAATGGTTACAGTTACCATTTTGGACCAATATTTAAAAGACAAGACTCTCACTATATGTATTGATGACTATAATATCTAAACCAAAGTTTTTGATCACATAGCAACATTTCTGATCACATAGCGACATATAACGGTTGAGCAGGTAAAGGCAGGTATACAGAATCATACCTAGGAAGATAGTAACCCTATGAAAGAAAACTAGATTTTGATTATAGGTCTTTTGGATGTTGCAAGGTCCATCTTCTTATTGCATATGCAAAATATAATAATTACTGAGTAAAGGTAACAAGCCTTTTTATTTAAAAGAAATATGTTCACTATGGCAGTTCCCTGAAAGTGATTGAGTTAAAATTTACCAATTGTTTTTCTTATTTCACTTTGCCCCATGGTTCATATAAGTCAAACATGTACGTCGTTAACTTGTATAAGGGCGTTGACCCATCGCACAAGTATATGCAGTACATTTGTTGTGACCTCATTTAAGTGTTGCACTTTAAAAGAGAGGTGAAAGATACCAAAAGTAGAAAATAAACTGACAATGGCAGGGCAAAAAACGAAAAACTACCAAAAGACAAATAACAGTATGCAAAACACAACATAGAAAACTAAAGACTGAGCAACATGAACCCCATCAAAAACCTGGGGTGATCTCTGGTGCTCTGGAAGGGTTAGCAGATCCTGCTCCACATGTCACGGCCCTCGTGTTACTCTTATAAAATATGTTGATAAGCTATATCAAGTGAATTAAAAGAATGTTTACAGGTAAAGGTTAAAAAAAACAGGCTTTTTATTTATATGGTAGATGTGAAAGGTGCTATACAAGCCTGGTCTTGAAGGCATCTTGTCATCAATGTGGTAATGTTTTCCATATCTTGATTATTCTGGCAAAAAAAGTTGTGTATGTATTGTTCTCCTGTGTAACCAAGTCTGATGAAATGTTCCAGGGGAGATTTTTTTTTGTGCCTTGTTGCTTGCATGATATAGTCTGATATCGGTATTGCTATGTTTTTGTCTCGCCTTGACAGAGTCAAAAAGCGAGACATAGGTATGCTGTTTTTCGGCATTGGTGACAGCGGCATCGTCAACAATTTAATTTTTTTGTGATTAGGTCAGTTTCTGGGGAACCATTAGTGGTAGGTTAATGATATTTGTTATGCAGTTGTATTAGCATTGACACATCTGGTTTCCATGGAGCTTGTTTGGCCCTGTACCTTCAGTCATGGTTAATTGGCTGAATATTTTGCATAACTCAAATGTTAAGGTATTGCTATTTTAATTTCAACATTTGCATTTTACTATCAAAATAACAAAACAGTGAGACATATCTCTGTGTTAACAGTTTATTAAGAAAAGCTTTTAGGAAAAAAAGTGAACTTGAAATTGTTCGCGGTTGTTGAAGTAGTGGTTATTTCGACCTTTCTAGAAGAGCTACTCTTTGGGGATACATTTAGCAGATATGTGTTGGACCATTTCTAATTGGTATATTAGTTTCTGTTGGTATGGGCCCACAAACTGATGACAAGTGAAAGGTAAGATGGACGTTTGATCGTTTCTGGAAATTTTCCAAAGTTTCTCCTCCGAAAACCTTTTGATCAACTTGGTGGTAATGTTGTTCATATGTTTATCTAAAGACAGTGTTAAGGTGATCTCCACCCAAAGGTATGGATTGTGTTGTACAGTGTTTAGTATGTGGTCATTCATATTGTATGGATAAAAGCTGAGATTCTTTCCTTTGCATATTGTTAACTAATGCTCCGTGTTGAAGGCCGTACCTTGACCTATAATGGTTTACTTTTATAAATTGTAACTTGGATGGAGAGTTGTCTCATTGGCACTCATACCACATCTTCCTATATCTAATAACATCTTGTCGCATTGAAAACAATCTGCCATTTTTCCTGACCAACTGGGAAGGGATGTTAAGTCCAGCTGTACTTTTTCACAGTTGTCTCTGGATGATACTGTTAAGTACAACAGACTATCATCAACGAATAATCGTATAGAAAATGAGATATTGTTTCCTATATCGTCGCTTAACACCAAAAACATGAGAGGTCTTAGCACAGTTTCTTGTGATTCACCTGATTGAGCTTGAATTGATGAAGATTCCTCTCCAACCAGTACTTTCTGTTGTCTTGGTCATGACATCCCTTATCCAATGATGTTACCATTTATGCCATAATGATCTAGTTTCTTTATCAGTCTTGTTATTGGAAGAAACAGAAGCAGTCATTCCATGACTTTCGCCTTGTCAAATTACCCTAAAAACTTTTTTCCCCGACATTTGTCAAATTTCTAGAGATCATTGTTCCATGTAATCGTTTTGTCAATTCTAATAGTTTGGCCTATATCCGTCCAATATTCTACGGCTGAGGTTGTCTATTAACACTTGCTTACCCTTCCTGGGCACATGAGATTACGCTTCAGTTTTTGGTGGTGTTCGTTCTCTATGAAATGTTATGTGAACTGATGGTCTTTTTCGTCATTTTTCCTTTTTTGAAATTGTATTGTCAGCTGATATTCTACTTATGAATTTTGGATGGCTCACACGGTATCTTCCATCTCTTTGTTTTACCACAACTGGGACAAAGTCACTGCTGTTGGACATTTTTGATATTATTATGTCAGTTACATGCAATGCCTAAAACTAAGAAGATAGTAAAGAATACTGACTTGGACGACGCCCAAAAAGTAACCAGGAGAAGATCTGAGTTGTTAATAAACAAATCTTGTCAACAGATTAGAGTGTAACCTTCGCGGATCGGTATATGTCGGCGAAATAATAGGAAGGCTTTTCGATGGGGTTCGTGTTGCTCAGTCTTTAGTTTTCTGTGTTGTGTGTTTTGTGTACTGTCGTTTGTCTGTTTGTCTGTTTGTCTGTTTGTTTGTTGGTCTTTTTCCTTTTTAGCCATTGTGTTGTCAGTTTATTTTCGAATTATGCATGTTATAAGTTTGAAAGTTCCTTTGGTATCTTTCGCCTCTCTCCTTAACAACGGTATTTGCAGAATTACACCAGACATTTAAAACAATGCAAATGACATTGTTTATCAACATTTTTATCATTCTGATCATTCAATCTCTTTTAAGCGAGTTTACATAAACGGAAAAATATCCCACATGACTGACAATCATCATCTTGCAACTGTTTTAATTCGAGCGCCACTGTTGATTCTTATGTAGACTGCAGTCTGGCGTAAAATAAAATAGCCTGGTATCTGAAGAGATTTTGCAGCACCTTCCTATGCAAAAGGAATTCTACTGAATTCGTGAACTAGGAACTGCGACACCTTATGGTTGCAATAACAAAATTGATGGTATAGATTTTCTTTCTAGTCCTTCCTGTAGCTCGGTGAATGTAAGGAATATTTTCAAGTCTTCTCGACGTAGACACAGCCATGGTCATCATCATTATTCATCTACTCTTCATGATGTTTCGTTAATAATTTAACCTTCGATTTATACAGAAGCAGTTGGGTATTAGTAACTTTCGCACGAAGCTATTATTATATCCCCTTACGAAACTTCATTATCTACAACTTATTTTTGAACCCCCATTCAAACCAACACCAGCTGACAGCTATCATCTCAGATATTGCCCGTCACAGACTTTTCAAACAGGTTGGCTTTTCTAATACTTTCCTTTGTCAACAAAGTTGTCGATGCCATCAATTTAAGCAGACTATCCTTCAATATAAATCAATTCAATCGAAAATCCCTCCCTACTTAAATGATCAGCCTGTCCCTACCATATTGTATACTTATACCATACATACTGTGACTTAATTATTTATTTCAAACACATGTTGAAGGATCTCATTATTGACGACTTCAAGTTTAAACCACCTGATTGCACCTGTGCTAGTTCCCCATTCATGTATACTCTGGCTTGCAACGTTCTCAATATTTACGACGTCAATTCTAATCTTTCCGATTGCACCTGTGCTAGTTCCTCATTCATGTATACCCTGGCTTGCCACGTTCTCAATATTGACGACTACAAGTCTTAAACCTCCTGATTGCACCTCTGCTAGATCCTCATTCATGTATAATCTTGCTCGACACGTTATTGCTGGTAACCTGAACATTGTCAACAGCACCTTCGTACGAAATGTACAGATGGTAATCAAAGGGTCGAAATATCATGAGTCTTATTTCATAAATTGGAAACGCAACTTTAAAGTACGTAATGGAATAAGTCGAGGATTGTATAATGTAATTGGTCAAACGTGAAAAAGAAGACGTGGATACTCTTGCCGAATGGGTAAAGGTTGTGAGTTTGTTAATAAAATAAGAATTAAAAAACTGAATGGGTCTATAAGCACTTGTGCTACAACTTTCTCCAAAAACCCAAAATATTGCTAACACCTGCCCTAATTCTATATACAGATTAAGTCCCGAACACCATCGTTTTTGTGTTCAAATCACATTACATAAACTGCTTGATAACGAAATTAAGTATTGACAATTCACTTGGAAACTCAACAAATAATGCAAAGAGTGTAGACAATTACCAAAGAAGAAATCATGAAAGATCATCATGTATTCATTATTCCTTCGGAATTGTAACTAAAGATGAACCATATCTTTCTTTACTGTATCGGATACCACAATTACCTACGTGTTCTTACAAAAAAACGTTATGTTGTTGGGTCTGACAAGTACTCAAAGAAACATCTTTCCAATCTATTAACATCAATTTTGTCCTCAATCAATTATATTAGATCCGGGCTTCAGAGTTACCGTGAAACTACATACTCTAGGGGCGATGTGAATCAGATCTGGATACTAAAAATCCAATGATCTTATAGCGTACTAGTATATACAATCTAAGTCTCTTACCTCCTGCAACAGTATACAAAATTTGACTTCTCTACCATTTACATCTAACTTAAAAGACAAAATGAAATAATTTGTCCATCATTTAAGAAAATGAACATCGTTGCTAATGATGTTTGAGGAAGAGATACATCATCAACCACCCTAATACAAACAAATATTGACAACATCTTGATTTTTATTGACAACATATTTTTTGTTAAGCTTTAATGATGTGTTTTTTCAACAAATAATTGGTATTCCCATCGGAACCAACTGTGCTCCTCTTCTTGCCAACTCCTTCGTGTATTAATCTGAGATAGACTTCAGAAAGAAGCTTTTTAGGAAGAAAGAAAACAATCTAACATTTTCCTTTAACTTTACGTTTTGCTATATAGATGATGTCCTCTCAGTTTGGTGACTATGTTGAACGCGTCAATCCCATTAAACTTGAAATAAAGGATACTAGAGGTACAGTTAAGTTTGCCTCATATCTTGTTTGCATCTAGAATTTGACAATGAGGGTCGGTTGAGAGGAAAACTTACTTAACGACTCGAGGGATGATTTCAGCCTCCCAATTGTGAAATTTATATATAACAACCTTCATCAGCAACTGCATATGGAGCATACATATCCAATTTGATACTTTATAGAGGGTTGCTACTTTCATGAAAGCTATTGAACCAAGGATCACAAATGGTAAAGTTGAAGTCATTCATCTCTTCGAAAGTTTTAAGAAGTACTGGCTACAGGGCTGATGATACCCTCGAGGACTAACAGTCCACCAACAGAGTTATCGACACATTTGAAGTAATAACATTAACGGTACCAAAATTTGCGCACAAGATGCACATTTCGACAATAAATGTCTCTTCAGTGATGCTCAAACTATTTGAAAATCTCAATTTTATTAACAGGATGAAGAGCTATACAGTTATATTTTGAAAGCAAAATAAATGGTCTTTGATACACAACATTGGTTCAGATAATATACTTTACACATAAAGTACTTTCAAATATTGTAAAAACTAACTAAAAATTTGTTTACCAATTATACTATTACAGCCTTTGGTTTTATATACACGGATCATTAAAAACATCAAGGTGGTCAACGTACTTTAGTAGAAACTTAACGGTTACAAACATTTCAGCTCTTAAATTTAAAAAAAAGACGAGTTTACATGGCAAATAACGAATATGTATAACTGTTTACTTATATTTTAACTACTGTTCTGTATTTAAAAAAAAATCATCGATACTTGATGTCATACACCGAAATACTACTGCCTTCAGGCTTAACACTACACTGTATAAGCTGTTTTGTAGAGTTACATATATCAAATTCAATATTCCTATACCCTTTGTGACATTTTGCACATGCCAAATTATCACACCATTCCAATTGACAGTGATTTGACAAGAGGTCTTTACTACTCTTTCCCCTACTGGAGACACTGACAATGGTGTCACCGTACAAACAAGCTGCAAATATAAAACCATTTTCGTCTACTGTTATTTCTGCCAGAAGATGATGAGTATTGTGTTGATATGTCCAAATAACAGATCCATTGAAGTCACAACAGTGAATATTTTTCATGAAATCTATAAAAAATATTCGATTATCATTTAAAGCTGCTCTCACACAAATATCAATGGGCACTTTTACTTGTTTCAACAACCTGCCATTTTTACTATACAAATATACATATTCAGAACCTATTAGATATAGAAGAAATTTGTCTTTGAAGAATTTAATACCATGACAGTGGTCCTCCACTTTGAATGTTTTAATAATATTTCCTTCATTTATTTCTATGGAAGCTACCCTTTTATGTTTAAAAAATGTAACTGCTACAACAGTGTCATTCATATGTACTACACCCCAAGCCTCATCGGGAAGTTCAATTTCACGACGATTAGACCCATTTAAGTCTGAGATATGTAAAGACTTGTGCCCTTGTGCGATATGAACAATCTGTGCATTTGGTAATAATGCACAACTTTCGGTAAAACAACATGTAAAGGACGATTTTCTTTCAATGAACAAATTATCTACATCATTAACTGATCGATAAAATAGTTGGGCCTCCATCTGATCTCCTGAATTGAAGAAAATAGTTTGAAATCCCGCGTTTACTGAAACAGTTCCGAATGAATCCAAATGTTCAGTGAGAGAAGAAATAAACGGGGAAATGGAAAATGCCAGATTGATGATTCCCAGGTGTTCGTTTTTTTGAAGTGACTCTAAAAATTCAATTTGTCTCTTTATTTCTTTCTTAATTGTTTGTGCGTGCAAAAATGTTTGTAGTTGAGTGGCATGTAGTGTCAACTCATTGATGTTTTCCTGAAAATCCTGAACCGTTTTGTAATTTGTGTTGCATTCCTTTAAAACATTTTCAATTTTAAGTCTTTCCGTATTGTATTCGTCAGTTAATTCATCGATAGCAGTTTTCTCTAGCTTGTCTAAACTATCATCGATCGATTTGCGCATGTTGCAGATTTCTTGCACTATTTTTGCTTTTTGAAGTTGCAGCCTAGTCAGATTTTCTTTTCTGTCGTTAAACACTGTGTGAAAGTCATTCGATAAATCATGAATATTTGTTTTTAAATTGCTATAAACAAAAGACGCTTTTATGTTTTCTACATAAGTCTGAAGCGGCTGTATACCGGAGCATATGTGATGATCTTCCTTCATACAAAGATAACAACACGGAGCATCGTGAGCGGAACAATAGAATTCTAGTTTCTCTACGTGATCTTTACAGTTAGTATTAATTTCCCGGATAAAGAGTGGCACCTTTTGATAATCTATGATCGGAATAACGCTATGGCATTTTAATGACCTTATTTTGTAATGGTTTGTTGAACATTCAGCACACAACGTTTGCTCACAATCCCAACACCAACTGGAACAATTTCTGTCCTCATGTATGGCACAGTTTTCTCTATCTGTTGCTGACATACCTTATCTGCAAAATAAAAGAAATAATTTTCGGAAGAATTACAGCTTTCATATTTGGAAATCAATTGCGAATATTATCACGATTACTTGCGTTGATGCAGAAGGAGGGGCCTCGTTGGAAGAGTAATCTTAGTGGTACATCTACAGTGATCACCAGCTTGACAACACCAAGATTGTGAGATCAATTTTAGAATACAAAACAGCAACGAAATATCTGCTGAAATATTGCAAAACCACACGATACAAATTCTTTACAATAAAATAATTTCGGGTCCTGTGGAACGCTATTTGATTTAAGTCTGAAATAAAAGAGAAGCGAAAGATACCAAAAGGGACAGTCAAGTAAATAATAAACTGACAACGCCTTGGCTAAAAAAAGAAAAAAACCAGCAGACAAACAACAGTACACAAAACACAACATAGAAAACTAAAGACTGAGCAACACGAACCCCACCAAAAACTGGGGGAGATCTCAGGTGCTCCGGAAGGGTAAGCAGATCCTGCTCAACATTTGGCACCCTTCTTGTTGCTCATGCTAGTGCAAACCCGATAATAAATCTAATTCGGCAGGTCACATTCGGGGAGAAGGGGACGGGATTGTAGTTACGACAATTGGAACATATCCGCTGTCATCTGTGAAACGGATATTCCATAACGATCAACAAACTCTTGATGGCGTCCGTAAAATTTACGAAGTGATGATTTCAACATCACCACTTGGAAATCTAGGTTTAATATCTTTCTTGTCAGCATCAACCCTCTATCAAGGAAATCATGATATGAAATGCAAGCCCTGGAATATCGCATCAACTCCGTATGCAGGCGCTGCTGGAACGTTGCTACATACTAGATGTTAGTCAAGATATGAGGCAGACCTAACTGTATATGTTGTATCTTTTATCTCAAGTTCGATGGGAAAGATGCGTTCAACTTAGTCACCAAATTTTGAATTATTTAGTGAGAGAACATCATCTATATAGCGGAAAGTAAAGTATCTTCCTAAAAAGTTCCTGTATGAAGTCAGCCTCATATGAATAAAGGAACAAGTCGACAAGAAAAGGAGCACAGTTGGTTCCCATGGGAATACCGATTGTTTGTTGAAAAAACACGTCTTCAAAACGTATCAAATATGTTGTCAATCAAGAAATCAAGCATCTTGATAATGTCAGTAAAAATAAGCGACGTTCCCGTAAATGATTAAGAATAGAAATTAGTTAATTGTTGATGCAAAAGCTCAAATATATTTCTTTTTTGGGGGAGGGGGGGCAGGGGGTTATAACCCATATAAGTTACGGTGATCAAATTGTTAACGTACTAGTCTTTTGCTTATTTTATATTCCAATTGTAATGTCCAACACTAGGTTAATAAGTAGTGTAACAAAAAAAACGCAGTGGCAGAAGCAAAAGAAGCAGTTAATAAGCCGTGACGTTTGGAAAAAGCACTTGCCAAGCAAAATGATAATTCAGATATACCCTTGATGTTAAGTAAAGCATTATACCAAATTGGAACGTCTTAAACGTAAACTTGTCATCCTTGGTATCCACTGTCTAATATTCGAAACCATAATCAATCTTGGCGGCCATCGTCTAGGTGTATGCATGGTGCCCAAGTATTCAATTTACCAAACAAACCAATTGTAAAACATTCGCTGTATTTAGAGAATTGATTATAACACAAACTCCAGAGTGAAACATTCGCGTTAACTCGTTACTTTAAATTTACATTACCTTTTCTTAATGCAACTATTTTACCCTCAATTTTAATCACAATCATCCATACATATAGCGGAAAATTTGTTCTCATGAAAACCTCCACTGTTGATTTGTTCCTATGGAAAGTGACTTTTTGTGTATACAGGTAAGTATATTTTCTGAGTATTGTTAATGTATGTTTATTCAACCCGTGTATCATAATTTATTAAAAAATATTTAAATAGGTCTTTATAAACATGATAAATGTAAACAATCTTTACGATGTAACTGTATCAAAGAACCTTGGTCTAATAAAATGATTGAATTGGTAAAAAGTAAATACGTTTTAATTTGAATATGTTCTTTGTAAGGATTGTATAGAATAGAATAGAATACTTTATTAATCCAATTATGGACCCTTGCGGGTTTTAAATTTCATACAATGATTACAATGATTTTTGTTATGACAATGAAATAATAATAAAATAAAATACAACACAATAGAACACTGAATAGTTATTGCATGCACATGGAAGAGAAAGTTAATATGGGAGACAATCAATAAATATGTAAGGATTATTACCTTTTGAACAGTATCTAATTATCTTTGAAGATATGGTGTTCAGAGCTGGATAAAAAAGAAGCCCATACTGATTAGATATAAGGGTAGTATTCTCCCATGTACACGCAGCAACCAATTACTAAATATTTATGTATATAATATTTAAATTGCAAGAATTGGATAAGCACCTCTACAAGTTTGACTGCAGTTTATTAACGCATATATTAGGCATTAACATAAATAAGTCTAAATTGAAAACAAGGTTCAAACCTATGATTGCGTTGGATAAACACCGCAATTTTTATACGTGTGCATGCAAAACAAATTTCTTGGTAGAGGGGTCTAAATACAGCACAAACAACATTTTCCAAAAGACCAAAAAAGTGAAAAAATATATTTTAAAAAAACGCATTTGACTAACAGGTCGAACAACGGATGTTCTTAAACCCTGCTTAACATATATATAGATGAAATATGCATACACATAGATAGAGTAATGTGTATTTTATTGAAGTTTTTTTTTTATTTAAAATATATATATGTTACAGGCATTTTCTAAATTTAGGCATTTTGTAAAATGACTGAATTTTCAGGCAATTTATAAAATGCATAACCTTGACAGGCATTATATAAAATGACTAAAATACCTAGTCAGTTTGTAAAATGACTGAAATTTTGAAACAAAATTCAACAAATTGCCTGTTCAGTTTCAGGATATTATTACGATGCATATGACAAAAATTGGACAAAAGCACATCTTGCAAAGAAAATAACTAATGGTTCGGTAGAATTAATTTATTCTTCAAAAACCAGCTGGGAAAGTTTGTATGTCATATGATATGTTCTTTTTAGTGAAACTACGTTAAGTGTGTACTCACTCTGTATTTTTATATAGTAAATTTATGATTATTTTGTCAAAATGGCAGAAGGGCAAATTGTTCTTTTAAAAGAAAAAAATTACAAACAAATTTTAAGAAAATCCAGATAAAAAACAGTAAATTGAAACATATGAAGCAGAGAAAAATAAGTGTGTTTTAATTGACTGATAGGTTTGTTTGCTTTCAGTAGCAAATATTTCATGCATTTTTAAGACGAGAACAATTTGGTTATAATTCATATGGGTTATTTCTGCAGTGGAATAACCTGGATAAAGGACAGGAATCTCGACTGCCGCTTGAAATGAAGGTATTTCGGATAGGGACAGAAAATTCCACCTGCAGAACGGTCAAAGAGTTCTAAACGTGCAGAGAGTGTTGCACTTTACTAACATGCGGCAATATATTTAATGTCCCCATTCAGAAAAAATGAGAATTTACACATCCAAACAAATTCCCCTCTATAGCATGGGTTTCGCCATACAAGGCCGTGTTTGGTTGTGATGCAAAGATATGAGTATCTTCATCGTCACTGCCTCAAGGAAATTTCTGGGTCTTTGCATTCTGATGAATTAATGAGACAGTAGCTAACTGTGGTTAAAATCTCGAAAATCGACCAAGAAGAGACAAATAACGGTGTACTGACAGGGTAAGCGTCTCCTGTTATAGATGCATCACCCGTCATGGGACGATCTGATTCGGTCCGTTAAAAGCTATAAGCCAAAAGATACAAGTCAAACTAATTATGATAATGTACTTTGAATCTTTTGGGAACATATGAAAAAGAAGATATTCATGTGTGACGTGTGTGCTTATTGCGAAACCCAATGTTGTCGAACGTGAAGTGTTTTATCATGCAGAAAAGGTAATGAAAGAGCTAAATGTGTCATGATCCACGTTTCTCCAAATGTGGTCGAAGTGCTAAATCCAGATTTTACGCCAAACAATGTATTTGCCAAAAAATAGGACAAACATTGTGTAACAGTTCTGTCATCCAAAAACATTTTAAGAAATAACAAATAATTGTCGAGTTCTGTGCTTGTGTGAATTTGGAATAATTCAGTAAAACTTGTTTTTGATTATTAAAACTCTTAAACTGCAAGCTTTAACATTCAGTTATTATCATCAATAAAACTGCTCTGTTGTTCAAAGCTTTCAATTGTTTTTTTAACATTTCATTCTAATAATTTCACGCATTTTGTAAAATGCCTTTCAATTTTTCCAGGCATTTTGTAAAATGCCTAAAAAAAGTAGTCATTATGTAAAATGCCTGAATCTTGAAGGCATTTTAGAAAATGCCTAAAGTTTTAAGGCATTTTACAAAATGCCTAAATTTAGAAAATGCCTGTAACATGTATATAAACTAAAAGAGATTTAGCCATTTACAGAATTTTTGGATCTCAATTCAAAACTGTGGATAAGAAAATTACTTAACTTTGTAAGTATATATTTATCTTCAGTGGTCATTAACCATAAAAATTTTGATTTGCAGTCTAAGTTATCAAAATTTTGACAGTCCTCATGAGCTTGTGCAAACAATAATTCCCGACAGTTATTATATAATGCACAGTTTATTAAAAAATGAAACTCATCTTCTATATCATTATGAGAACAAAAATTACAAGTCCTCTGTGACCTATCTATAGGTTTGTTTTATGTCGCTTTTTTTCCACTCGTAATTGGTGGACACTTATGCGAAATTTACACAATATTTGTCTTAATTCAAAACTTTGAATATCAAGATATTTTTCCATTTGGAAATTACTTTTATGAGAAAAATATGTATCCAGCTTTCCAGTAACATTATCTCTATCATTGTACCATGCTTCCAAAACAATGTCTTTAACTTTTTCATAATAAGTTGTTTTAATCTATTTATTGAATAATCAATACAATATGTTTCTTTCAATTCAAGCTTTTCTAAAATAAATTAAACAGAGGAATACCATGTCATAGTGTTATTTTCATGCATATTTTTGTTACATATAAAGGCTTCTTTCAATAAATTTGAGTTACAATGATGTAATCTATGCAGATAGCTTATCATAGATATAACAATATTAAAATATATAAGAAATCTTCCTAATTCTGATTGTACAGCAACACTTGTACTTTTATTATTTAAGCCTAAAATATGCTTCCCGTTTGAATGGTTTTACACTAGTAATTTTTTGGGGCCCTTCATAGCTTACTGTTCGGTGTGAGCCAAGGCTCCGTGTTGAAGACCGTACTGTGACCTATAATGGTTTACTTTTATAAATTTGGACTTGGATGGAGATTTGTCTCATTGGCACTCATACCACATCTTCTTATATCTATTTACAGAACGTTTTTGTATACATAGATGAAGATTATAAGATTTCGATGTGGAAATTTTTATTTTAATAAAAATGATTAATTACTGAGAAAGAAATTTCCATTCTTGCTTGATCTAACTTTTTCGCGGACTCATTATTGTTTTTTCTGCTCTTAACGAATTAAATTTGTTTAATTGCTACTTAATTTTCGTCATCCTAAGTTTGTCATAACTTTTCTTATTGGATTATCAGTTGAATTCTACTCACTTTTATTTACCTGTTAAATAACATACCTTTTTTCTTCACTCCAAGATTTGTTTTCACACGGTAAACACTTAGTTCTTTTTATATAAATTTTGAATTTTGTGTTGAAGCGTCGATCAACAATTTTGATAATTAAGAGAACATTTTTTATTTTGGTGTTTATTTTTGTTTGCCTTTTTCCTTATGTGCCGAAAGTCTAATTTGGTAGGTACCGCAGATGACCCTTTAAAATGTCTTAAGAGGATGGATATTTTTGTAAAACATTATTAATTGCTTGTGTATTTTAATTGGTATACAACTATACAATTTGGAGAAAGGAGTTTGCAAATTCCACTTTTTAGAGACACTTCTTCTCCTCTTTGTCCCTTTTCAGCCTATATTACTATGTGCAATAGTGCTTCAGCTTTTGTTGTAAAAAAGAATGGTGTTTTAAAACCAGTTACTTACAACATGTTCAATTCATTTTAAAAAAAAATGCATTACAAGTATTGGCTTGGATGCAGGAAAATTTTCAACTCATAGTTTTAGAAGGGGTGGTGCCACGTGGGCTTTAAAATGTGGTGTACCATCTGATTTAATTCAACTTCAAGGTGACCGGAAAAGTTCTGCCTATAAACATTATCTCCGTTATGGTCTGAATAAAAAGCTTATTGTGGCAAACAAAATGATGTCTTATTGTTAATTATTTTTTAATAATTTTATTCTCGTTTTAGGAGGTAAAAGCACATTGATTTTAAGTGATTCTTTGTTCAAATACTTTCCGGATTTAAAGAATACAGATATTCAAGCTTTTGGTGGCCTAACGAGTGAACGTTTGCTATGGAAAATTAGACATGGCTATTTTTATCATAACAAGTGATTAGCAATTTTGGATTAATATTAATTTGATTATTCAAGAAATGAGGAGTATAAACTCCTCTTGTAGGATAATTTTATCTTCCTTATTGCCTAGACCTGTAGATTTTAAACTTTCCGACAGCTTAGTAAAAAATTTTAATTCTCAACTTTTTGATATTTCTAGAGCAGGATGGGTAAAGGTTAGCTACATGGCCGATTGTAGATCTTTTTTAGACAGCTTTGATAGGCCTATTTTCCCGCTCTTTCACAATACAGACCGATTACATTTGAATCATG